GTGTCAGTGGTAAGAAGGGCCCCAGGAGCAATGTGAGTAAAATCTTGAGTCCCAGCCTTAAATGTTCTCAGCTTATTTGCTAGGTGCATAACAAACACGCTACTCCCAACAAATCTTAATGAATTCATTCTTCTTCATAGAAGCCCCATGGTCTTATCATCTCCTGGTTCCTAACAGACCCCAGGCCCCGAATTCACTCTTGATAATATTAATTCCAACTTTGCTTAAAAATGTGAAGTATGTGAGAGGTGTAAGCACACAGTAAAATGTGGATGGGGAGACTTTTTCCCTACTAATTTCAAAAACATTTTCTGATTTAAAATACTTTTTAAAGGTGGGTTGTTTTCTTTTTTCCAGGATAGCATAACTAACAGTGTTTGTTCAGCTAAAACTAGCTGAGTAAATGGAATCTCCAAATGAAATGTGGTTGGAGCAAGATCCAGGCTCCTGAGTATATCTCTATCCCTCTGCCAAGCCCCAGGGTTACTGCTGAGGTTTTTGCTAAAATAATCTGGCTTTACAATGCACGAACCCTCCAGGTCTCTGTCTTCTATACCTTCTTCACTCTTCTCAACTAGGAAGTGCCCATACATTCAGCTTTAGCAGAGCTCAGAGGTGAGGTTCCCAGTGAGGGGCCTTATAACCCTGGAGCCACAAAATGAAGGCAGGCCACCTCTAGTGAGGACACTAGAAAAACTTCAGTGAAGAAACTGACTGTGGGAATCACTGGAGTTTAGCACTTCAAATACCACATCATAAATCCCACCACCCTTATCCTGGCCAGAGATGTAGACTGAGCTTCCCCTACTGCTTTCTTCCCCACCAGTACTAACCCCACATCTCTCTTCTCTGGACCCCCACAGCCCGTAGTCACTAGTCACATGACTAGTCAAGTTTCTTTTGACAATGCATAGATCTCTGAAACCTCTTCCCCACCTCTGCCTGGATGTGACCTCAGGAGTCAGTCGCCAGAGCAAAGAAGAAAGCAAGGGGTCATTCAGCTGAAGCTCTACCCTTCACAGATGGTTAAGGCAGCAAAACAACATCTCTTTATAGAAGTGAACTTTTTTTCCTGTGAGTCTGAGTGTTTATTCACCAAGCAATTTCCTCTGACTCCCTGAATCCATTCCCAAGTGTTACTTCCCCAAAAACAATCACACACACAAAAAAACCTTTTAGTTGTTCTCTAGTCTTAAAAAGTGTCAGCTATGCTTTACATTGTTAGACTGTATCAGTTAGCCTTTGTTAACGACAATTCAGTGACTTAAAATAACATCTATGATTCTGTAGTTTGCCGGTTGTGGGCTGGGTTCAGCTGGTGGTCCTTCTGGTCTTAGCTAATTCTGCTCCAGCATCAGTGTCTGGATTGGCTGGGGGCAGTGAGTCTAGGGTGTCTCAGATGGGACAGCTTGTCTTTAGTCCATGTGATCTCCCCTCCTCCAAAATCTAGCCCAGGCATGGAGTATATATATACAGGGTTGCTAGAGAGTATAGGAGCAAGGCTGTCAAGGTGTCAACTCAGAATTGGTGCATCGTTCTATTCACAGAGTATTGTAAGTCCGAGGACCAGCCAAGGGATGGAGAAATGAGATACACCTTCTGCTGGGAGGACTGCAAGGTCTCATTGCAAAAAATGTGGATACAGGGAAGGGGAAGGATATGGTCACTTTTACAATCTGCCACATAGAAAGGTTTGCCAGATAAAGTACAAACACCAACCAGGTAATGAATAACTTTTTAGTATAGGTATGTCTCAGGCCATATTTAGGACATGTCTATACTAAAACATTATTCACTGTTTATATGAATTCAAACTTAATGTCCTAAAATTTTAATTGTTAAATCTGGCAACCCTACATACAGACCATGTCCAAATAAGCAATGACTTTCTTTATCTAAAAGAGACAATTTTTTATTTTATTTATTTTATTTTATTTTATTATTCTATTTTATTTTTTTATTTTATTTTTTTTATTTTTCCTTACCTGAGGACATTTTTTTCATTGCTTTTAGAAAGAAAGTGAAAGAGAAATATTAGTGTGAGGGAGAGAAGCATCTATTGGTTGCTTCTGGTAAGCACACAGACCTCACCTGGACTGGAGATTGAACTCACAACCTATGTACATGCCCTGACTGGAAAACTGAACCCACAGCCTTTTGGTTACACGACAACGCTCCAACCAAGTGAGCCACGCTGGCCAGGGCTAACTAAAAGAGACAACTTTAAACTTGAAATTAGTTTTAAAGTGTACAACTGCACCAAGTGTTGTACCAGAATCTACTAAAAATCTCTAAGTACAGCCATGTACTCCACTCCATATTCTAGGAACCATCTTTAGCTGAACACTGGTATTAAATAACCATACAATAATATAATATATAGCAGACTCTGTTTCATTTCAGTTATGCATTAGGTGAAACATTGCTACATAGAACACCAACAGAGGAGTCTGTACTTTCTGTATTTTGGGCCTATTCTGTATTTATATTTTTTACTTTTCTATGAGGAATATTTTAAATCTTTGGAAGATATTAATCATTACACTGCTATGGAATGTATTATATTGAATTGGGCCAAAGGTACTTAAAATTCTTATTTACTTACCCAAACACTGTAGTGAAATTTGATGTTTTCCTCTATGGGTTTTTATAACTTCTGTGAGAAGTAGTGGTGCAAAGGTCAAAATAAATGTGCTTCATTAAGTAATACAACCTTACGTTTCTAGACAACAGCTCCCTCGGCTGAGGATAGGAAGGTACCCTGAAAGGTCATAGCCTCCCCTCACCCCCTCACCCACTGCTGCTCTACTCCTCCAGTCACTCTGTACATGACAACTGTACAGAGGTACAGGGACCCTGTCTACCCAGAATCCTGAGTAATGAAGAATTCAGACCCAGGGCATGCTGAAGCATGTTAACCAGGCTCTGATGCAGTTTCTTGAACCCAGCTTTAAACAAATCAGCCTCTGTTGTTTCTACCAGAATCTTAGACCAGAAAGGGAATTTAAAAGATTCCCACTACCAGCCTCTGGTACATAAATCACAAAACAAAATCCTGTGTCCAGGATCGCTGCAGAGGATGGCACAGCTCAAGGAAAAAGGTACTATACTATCCCAAACATGAAGATCCTGGATGAACTTGATAAAAGTAGCTTCCACCTGAAGAAGGACTTTTTCAAAGAATATATTTACCAAGACTTCATGGGGCAAAATGACAGTCAAGGCTGCCATGTTAGGATCATATTTATATTCCAAATCAGAGAAGAAAGTTTCAGATTTAGCTTGTCCTTCAGAAAGGTACTAAGAACAGAGTTCACTAAACTAGGAGTGTGAAGAATCAATACATTTGGAACTCAGCTGTCCCATGTATAAAATGAGTAAAGAGATTCAGTTATGAAATAAAAAGGTTTTTACAGCATGTGTATCAGCAATATTACCACATCACCCACTTTCTGACTTCAAGAAACTGCCCATTTCTTTATCTGGGGCTCCTCTGGCTTTACTATAAAACCTTAGGTCACCTTCAAAGTCCGTGTCCACTAGGGAGAGCCGGCTAAATGCTGTACTTTCCTTTGGGCTCTGGGGATGCAGCAGTGAACAAAATGAACAAAAATCCCTGCTTTCTCAGCACTTATATGTGAGTGGATGAAGAGGACAAGAAACCATGTGATTAAACCCTAAACAAGGAAGAGGGTGGAAAGTACTGGGGAAGGAGGTACAATTTTAAATAGGGTGGCTGCAGCACTCACTGAAGACATGCAGGAGTGAGGAAGCAGGCTGCCGAGTGAGTAGAGACCTACAGGAGGCACTAGTACACCAGGCACATCCTGGCTGGAGCCAGAAAGCTCATGGAGGGCCAGACAGAGATGGTAGGAGAGATGTCTGGAAGAGGAGCAAAGGCCACACCAGGAGATGGCAGGGTTTGATTGAAGGTACTAGTGGAGAATGATTGGCAGGAGCTGTTGTGGACTAGAGGAAAGTGGGTTGTTAGTGGGAGACCAAGGTTCTTGAAGTTAAGGTTCAGAGGGGCTTCTTAGGGATAATGAAGAGGTCCAGGGCATGACCCCAGGGGTGGGCCAAGGTGAAGTGGAGATCAAGATGATCACTGGAAGGAATGTAGTTGATCTGATCTGATAATGAGAATCCAAGCTGTAAGTTTTCAGAAGCAAATCCTACCTGGAAGCAGAAGTGGGCATTTGTCTGCCTCCATGCCTAGAAGGAGGTCCACTTCAGAGAGCACTAGAAGTGTTTCCACAGGAGAGCCAGAGGTTAATTAAAATAAAGCCTGATCAAGCACCAAGGGAGGGACTTCGCTAATGAAGCAGTTCCAGGGCAGAGAGGATGTGGCCAGACAAGACTACAGAGGAGCAAAAGGAAAGGTCATGGTCATGCTTTGTGAGGACTTGCAGGGCTGTCCTGGGTCACCAGGCAGCTGGACAGAAATGACTGCTGGTGGAGGGGGCCGCTGCTCCCAGCAGCAGTGTTCAGGGCTCCCCTCTGTGCTCATGACCTCCATTCCTGGAGGCAAAAGACATGTTACCAAGCACAAAAGGCTGCCTCATCTTTGCTCCAGTTGTTTTCCTGTCACATGCTGTCTCCTTTTCCTTAGATCATAAGCTCTTTGAAGTCAGTAAGAAATTTTACTTTGCCTGTTTACTAACCCCAACTCCTGAAATTCTTGTGTCCAGTCCTGGAAATTGGTGCTGGTAAAAACCTGGTGCCTGGTGAGTCTACTTGTGGAAACCCCGAAGATCCTCTGGCTGTCCTTTCCCTGTTGCCGGAATGCATAATTCCTCTTATAACAATTGCTTCACTGATCAGTTCTTGGGAGGAAAAAAGGAATAGCCAAACTCCAAGGACACTGTAATGTGCTGTGAGATTTTTGGAGAATTTGGCCAAACATAGCCACACTTGTGACAAGTGTCAAGGGTGCTGGTCTTGCTAAAAGCAATGGGTTTAGCATCGGGCCTGAGATCCCTCATGATATATGGCACTAACAGATGACTGGAGGTGGAGGCTGGGGCCGAAAAAGCAGAATTCAGAACCTGACCTACAATCAGACACTTAGCAAGTGTGTGACCAAACAGTGGAGTCTTCGTCATGAACTGACAGCCAAGGCAAAGCCAGACCCTTTACCCCTTTGCTGAAGTGCATTCAGTTGTCAGCCTATGACCCTCAGCCTGAGTCTGAACTCCCTTGCATGCCTCAGATGGCCCCGGAGGTGACCCCCACCACCCACTCCACATGCATTGTATATTCCAGCACACGTAAATTTCTTTCCTTTCCTAAAACATTTTTCTCCCTACTTGCTGTTAACTTGACACCTTTACAAGCGTTTTTTATCTTCTCCACCCAGCTAACTTTCAAGTCACAGCTTAAAAACTACATCCTCAGGGAAGGGCTCCTTGCTGGCCAAATGAGTCGGGTCTCTCTATGATATATTACATCACACACTAATCTCACGTCTCTGTAATACTCATTTAATATTCTCTCGCTCCCTCCTCCCAGTCCACTATATCTATGAAGGCAGCAACTGTGGCTGCCTCGGTCAGCACTGTATCCCCAGGGCCTTGCCCAATGACTGCAATAGAAGTGAAGCAATTTTTTTTTAAAGTTAAATGTATATACTGCCCTGCTTAACATGACTGGTAAAACATGAGCGGCATTATTTCCCAGTCCACCCTAGCTATAAACTGAGAACCTTTCCCTTCTGTACCCAGAAAAGTATCTCAGATGCAGTCAGTATCTTTTAAATTAATAAACCCCACAAAATAAGAACATCAGTAAAGTATGGAACACAGGCCAGCTAAAATACTACATTTGCTTTATTTCTAACTTTTCTACTGGTTTTATAACATTTAGAGAAGAATAAAAATGAAAACAAGGCACTATTGCAGCACATCAAGAAATACCTTTATCCAAAGGGAATTCGAATGGAAGATATGCTTAACATTAATATACAGGGTCCAGTACAAATAACTCCCCCTTTTTTATTACAAACTTTTATTACAAAAGCATAAGATGTAATTCTGTAACATAATATCACACTCAAGCATACAATATAACCTTTTATGTGAAATGTTCAAATTAAAACTATGAATTATTACACCCGTATTATTACCCTACCAACCACATTCAAGCAGGCCTTACTTCTGCCGGAACCCTGTGTTTGTAACTTACACACTTATTGTCAAACATGACACCCCAAAAGCACAAGAGTTCTCACAATCACAGCCAGACGTCTTGCTTATGTGTCACTTCCATGACTGTCAAACACATATATGGAGAGATTGACCAAGATGACTTTCCAGGAGCTACACAAACAAGGCAAAGCATGAGGATGAGGCATATACTCAGTAGTGGGCCTTGAGTCTGCTCAGGGACAGCAGACAGGTGTAAGCTTTGGACCAACTCTACGTCTCTGTGACCTGACTGTGCCGAATGGTATACTGCCCTCTCTGTATAGGCACACGCAAGAAATAGTGCATCCACCCAGGGCACCATCAACGCAGCATATGCTCATAACCTATCTGGTTATTGCTTCTTTAAATGCACTTTAAGAACTAATGGCACTTGAATGAATGGTTGCACAACAGGCTAAGGGACAATTTTAATATAAAACAATATTAAATCACATAAGATGAGGTGAAATGTAGGAATTGTAAAGACTTTATAAAATGACTTAGAAACTGTAACTGCTTTTATTTAAAACTGCAAGAAGATATCCATTACCCTAATTTGCTGGAACCACAGTTTTTATGAGAAACAGCATCTACTGATGAACCTGATCAAAATTGAGTAATAATTTTAAAAAGGAAACAATTCTTGTTAAAACCAGAATATGACATTGCACAGTTGGACAGTGGTGTCAGAAGAACTGTGATCTGGGCAGTGGATCGCTGACCAGTCATGCCCAGTGGTCCCAGTACCCTGTGCAGGAGATACCAGCGCTGCAGGGCTGGTTAGCACTAGGGAGAGAGGAGGGGCCCAGGAGTGTGTTTAAAAAAGAAAATTCTGAAAACCACAGCAATATACGTGTGTTGTGTCCAAGTCACATAAAATTAGAACACAGGACAACAAAAGCTCCAAACTACTGGAAGCAGCCAACATTTCACGGAACAAGAGACACAAGCTTTGGTGCAAGTTTCAGGACTGAATGGCATATTACCATAGCACTGGATGCATCCACTTGAGGATTTGTGATCAATATGAAGTTTTTAATGTTGAATTCTTAAAGATGATTGGCCAACATATGGATATGTACAGTACTTGGCACAGGGATCCTCAATAAGCCATTGCTGAATCTAATCTGATGATAAAATGTTTACTTAGTAACATGTTCTAAAGGGTAAAAATTAGAGGGAAAAAAAGCATGTAAAGTGCACTCTGTCTTTAGGCAGAAGTTGTTTTTTTTTTAAAGTTATAACAGTTTTTATGCTTTTTAAAAATTGTTTGTTTTTTAAAAAAGATTTTATTCATTTATTTTTAGAGGGGAAGGGAGGAAGGAAGAGAGGGAGGGAAAGATTGATATGAGAGAGAAATGTTGATCAGTTTCCTCTTGCACATGCCCCAACTGGGGACCAAACCCGCAACCCGGGCTTGAGCCCTAACCAGAAATGGAATCAGCAACCTTTTGGTTTACAGAATGATGCTCCAACCGAGCCACATGGCAGTCATGGCAGGTTTTATGCTTAATACAATATATTCTGCGCCTAGGAAACAGCACATTATTAAAATGGAAAACATAATTTTGATTCATAGAAAACCATTATCATGAGTTTAAAAATCAGACTAAAAATGTTACTTAAAAAAAGGACAAAATGTCTAAATGATTATGTACAAATCAACGTATGGGACCTTAGCAAGAAAAGTATAAAACTGTCCTTTCTTAATAAGCATAGTCTTTCATTAGCGAAAAGGAAATGGAATTCTGGCTTGGTCCTTAGTGTTCCTGGACAAAGCAGTCTTAGCCATTTTAACAAACACTAGTGAAAATGCTCTAGTAATGGAGATTCTAGGACAAGCTATTGCCTACAGATGCAGACCCTGAGCTCATAGACCTCATGGACAGTGTTCTGCATGCACAGAAAAGACTGAGCAGCAAACACAGATGGCTACTCACACACGGCTGAGGTCACTGTGTCATAAAGAGCAAGTGTGTGCCTTGTCATTTAGCACTCTGCAGGAAGTCCTGGTGCTGCTGCTGTTCTGTGAACTGGACCCTGTCTACCCTGCCACAAACTCAGGCACAGCTGGGGACACTTGCAGCCTCCAGAAAAGCACTGAACCATTATAGGAACAAATCCAGTGTCATTTTCTTTGAGAAGCATTGTCACCAAGATGGACATGGTCTTGTGATACACAAAGCACAGCAACCTGAAATTGCACCATCCCAATAGGTTTTCATTTTTTCTATTGACAAACATTCAAAATGGCATTTTTATCCTAGGAAAGTAAATAATTACAACAAAATAAGCTTTTCTTACATGAGTGTCTAATCCAAACAGCCTGAATGCAATTACCAGAAATCAGAAGCGACCACTGAATTGATTGGGAAAAGATAACTTAGCAAGTGCTCCTCTGAAAAAAGTATAAAAAGAATGCTTTAAGTAAATGGAATCCATAGAGAATCAGGTTCACATCCTAAATGATGGGGTGAAAGTATGTGACACGGCATGTCCATCATATGGGGAGGCTGGAGAGCTTTCACTTGGTGGCAGTAATGGGGTTCTTGGGAGGAAGGAGCTTGTAGGTGTTGAAGTAGCCCACCACCTGCTGGGGGATCTCAGCCAGGACACACTGGGCCAGCGCCTCCTTGGGAGCCTAATGAAAACAATCAGATGACTTCATTAGCAACCAAATGTTTACTGCTATTTTGATGAAGACTAAGAATACTGCACACGTCAGTAAAGAGAAGCAATCTCCATTCCTAGGCCTGCATCTTGTCTTAGGAACAGTCTGAAAACATGGAATAACCTAAAGAATACTTTTATATCCCACTCACATTTATCAAGTTATTTTCTGGTGTGTGATGAGTTTTTGTTGTTATTTTTCTTTAACTTTTAAACATGGGTCTTTCATTCACTAGGTATTAATTTTTTTAAACTTTCTATTTTGAAATAATTATAGATTTATAGAAAGTTGCAAAAATAATACAGAGAGGTCCCATGTACCTACAGGCAGTGTCCTGCAAAAGTAACAGTTTCTATAATAGGATAATATCAAAACCAGGACAGTGACAATGGTACAGTTCTAAAACCTTACTGAGATTTAGCAGTGTCACATGCACTTGTGTGTGTGTGTGTGTGCACGTGCGCATGTACATGCAACTCAATGTGTCTCCATCATTTGGACAGATCTGTGTAAGCACTACAGTCAAGATACACAACTGTTTCATCACCAAAGAAACCCCTAATATTACTGCTTCTTAATCTGACACCCTGCCCACACCTTGCCCCCTACATCACTGGTGGGGATGTACAATGGCACAGCCACTCTGGAAAAATTTGACAGTTTCTTTAATAATTAAACATGCAGTATTCATGTGACCCAGCAACTGCACTTCTGGGTATTTATCCCAGAGAAATGTTCACACAAAACCTGTACACAAGGTTAACAGAGCTTTGTGTGCAATAGGCAAAACTGGAAATTGAAGACATCCTTCAAACAAATTGGCACACACATAGCATGGAATACTGCTCAGCAGTGAAAAGGAATAAATGCAGCAGTTTGGCTGAGTGAAAAAGCCAGTCCCAAAGGTTATACGCTGTATGATTCCATTTCTGTAATAGTCTTGAAGTAACAAAATAAGAGAAATGGAGACCAAATTAGTGGTTGCCAGGGTTATAAGGAGGGATGAAGGTGGGAGGGCACAGGTGTGGCTATGAAAGGGCAACATAGGGAAACCTATGGAGTAGGACCTTGCTTGTTTCAATGTACCAGTTTTATAAGATGTTACCATTGGAGTAAACTGAGTAAAAGTCTTCTGAGAGATGTTCACCAAATCAACTTCCAGTTTGGTAAATCCATCCAATACTTGTATAGAGTCATCACAGAAGTGAAGATGTAATATATTTTAAGACATTCACAACAGCACTCATTTAATGGTTTATCACACAGACTGTGAGAGGCAGTGTACAACCTGAAGTGAAACCATCCCCCCCGATCAAGGCTCTTCAAATGGAACGTTCCCATGCCTGCCCTAGCACCTACTCAAGCATCTGGTTGTAGACTGCCAAGTAGGAGGAGTGATACTCACGTTCTGAAACTGCCTGAAAGGCACAAACTGGACAATATCTCTGATGGCAGCCTCGCCAGATGGGGAGCGCAGACTCCCACTGTCACCATCCAGAAATTCCATGGCACTGAAGTCAGCCCCGCCCACTCCAACAATGATGATGGACATGGGCAGCTTGGCAGCACTGACAATAGCTTGCCTGGTCTCGTCCAGATCTGTGATCACACCATCCGTAATGATTAGGAGCACAAAATATTGCTGCCAAAGAAAAAGAGTCTAGTGAGCAGCTCGAGCTCCCACACAGTAAAGGCAATGGCTGCTGACATCTGCATCTAGATGAGTCATTATTGTCCTTCTTGCTTGTTTTTCTCACCGGTTTCTACCTAGGACACCATTTAATAATAGTCTGAGATCTCTGATGACAGGGGAATTTACTGATAGAAGTGCTGCAGGTTTATTACAAGTGCAACAGACTACAAAATAGCATGGGAATAAATTAATGGAAGCAAGACATGGAAAGGCACAGGAATAATCACACTGACTTAACTGAAGTATTAAATCGGTCAAAGTATTGCCCTGGCTGGTATGGTTTAGTGGAATCAGTGCAAGCTGTAAACTGAAGGGTTGCAGATTTGATTCCCAGTCAGGGCACATGCCTGGGTTGCAGGTCAGGTCTCCAGTTGGGTGCAACCAATCAATGTTTCTCTCTCACATGAATGTTTCTCTCCTTCTCTTCCCCTATCTCTAAAAATAAATAAAGTCTTTAAAAAATTTTTAAAATAATAAGTATCAGTCAAGGAAGCACGGGACAATTCTGATGAAAGCAGAATTGTTTATCAAACAAAATTCACTTAAAAAATGGATGTGGTTCAGAACAGGGGTTTGGGAATGCTCTCACTTCTGTCCTCTCTGACTAATCTTTTTAAAGAGTTGTAAAAATTTATGTAAAGCTGTGACTCCATCATTTCAGTCATTCAAGTCTAGAATGGGAGTAAGATTTGTAACAGTGATTAACGTGTGCTGAGTACTCACTATGGCCCAGGCCCTGTGCACTTGATATGAATTATCTTATTTCCTCTTTGGACAACTGTAAGAGTCCCTACCTGACTCGTGAGAATGTTGAAGCTAAGAGAGATAAATGGTATGCGAGGTCCTACAGGAAAGAGCTATCCAATCCAAACCTTTTTAGGACAGTGAGCAATTCTGCAACAGCAACTCAAGTTGTAAATAATTAGTTTATATGTTAGGTCTACCTTCATTTTGAGGGGCGGAGGGGTAGAACCAATCTAAAAAATTAATTCAAAAGGCAGAGGAAAGATTCATGGGCATAGGGGCTGCTTGTTCTTACCTTGTTTGTAATGATCACTAATACAACAACAGACATTACTCCCAAACTGAGGATGACCATAACATTACTTCACACTCTGCCCTTGTATCGCGACAGTCAAATCCACAGACAACTGGCACTGGGAGCAACTACAGATCCACAACTCCCTGCCCTGGCGGCAACACTTACCGAAGCTGTCTGTTGCTGTGTAGCTGCAGCAGCAAATCTGGCCACGTGGTTGATGATTGGGGAGAAATTCGTGGGTCCATAAAGTTTTATCTGAGGAAGGCAGGCTCGATAAGCCTCCACAATGCCTTGGATCCCTAGACCAGAAAAGGAGTATTGAACATTCTCAACGTGTAATACGACTGCTCATTACTCACCATCTAGCTAATTATATGTACAAATCAATATACTGTGCTTTAAACAGTTAGGAGTTCTATTTTGAGGAGTCTTTTTAAGCTATACAGGATTGGGCAAAAGTAAGCTTACAGTTATGAGCACACACAAGAGTTTATTCTTGTATTATTATTAATTATTGTATTATTTTCCATATGAACAAGTGTAAACCTACTCATGCCCTGTCCTGTGTATCACACAGCTCTGTAGCTTTGCTCCATTTCAAAAGCCAATAAACCCTCCCCTCCCCTCTCCTAAGAGAAGGCATTTACTTTCAGCCTCGCAAAATTATTCACTAATCTACAGTAGGATTGTTACAGTGCTTGATTTTGATGTTTTAGGAATGAAATTCTGATGGAACAAGAACTGTGAAAAAGTTGCTGCATCATATAACTTACTTAAGAGGTGAAAAAAAGTGACTGATTAGATAGAAAAATATTTGTATATGTGGCCAGAGACTCCACAAAAATGCCAGCTGGCTAGGATCCCACTGGTAATTCCAGTCCAGGGTTTCCTCGATAACTTAAGAGCAATGATTTTCAACCGCTGTGCTGCAAGAATTTTTAAAACAAGCAATATCTGATTATTTAGTCAGGGGCACTGACCTCTTTTCCCTTAAACTGTCAAATAAATTAATATATTTTTGATGTGCTGCAGAATTTTAGTAATTAGTTTATGTGTGCTATGAGATGAAAAAGGTTAAAAATCACTGACTTAGAGGTCAAGCATGGCATAGTGAGCTGCAGAGCTCCACACACCCACTTCTGGGTAGGTGTCACACTCCACTGCAGGTTTTGGGCACTCTGGAGACTGTTGGGGTGCTGTGTGCTGGGCCTGGGCAGGGCCTGGACCAGCTGTGATCCATGCATGTTAGTGAGAGGGGCACACATGTCTCAAAAGACCCACTGCTTGCTCTCCTTCTGTCACAGAGCAGTGCATCCCAGAGGATAGCTGCTCCTTTGGCCCAAGTCCCAGACAGAGGAGAAACAGAGCAGAGCTGCAGCCCAGTGATAAGTGAAGTAGAGAAAGTCGCTCAGATCTAGAGACTGTTTATCAGAGCAACACAACCTGGTGAAAGCTGAACAACACTCCTGGTAAAAGCACTGCTGATGCGGCATTAGTGTCACTCATGCACCTACTGAATCTGTCCCAATATTAGAGTCAGACACAGGTAAGATACTGGAATCCTCTAGAAATTCCCCACAATACTTGCTGAGATCATCAAGTAATCTTCCTCAGAAGATTGTTGATATAAAACCCAAACAGGTTTCTTGCTTAAAAATGTGCAACAGAACAGTGAGTAACAGGAAGAGAAGCAGGGACTTGGTTTAAAAGCTGATTCAGAGGAACGAGTCTCTCCCCTTAAAATTGGAGAGTTCCCGCAAACTCCCCTTAGTCACTCTGAACTTAGGAATGAATGGTCTTGTGAACAGCTCTTAAGAACATAACATTCATATGTAGAGGTGATTCTACATGCAAAGGTGAGGCTGTAACTAGAGCTAGTCAGTCTGTTAGTAACAAAAATCATATTGACAGACTAGCAGCAGAATCTTACTTCAGTGACAGCCACATGCTGTAGAAAACTGAGTCCATAACCACAGCAATAATAGCTTCTTCCACTTCTATCACCTTAGCTTGCTTTTTAGTCTCAAGGTGTACAAACTATTAATTAAATTTCTTCACAGATACCAAGTGCCTTCAGTTCCTCCACTAAAGCTGAATTATGCTGACATCCTTCCTTTGCTTTACAGGAACAAGTGAGACATGTTACTTATTTCTGGGCAAATAAATTCCACGATAAATTTGGAAGGGATTTAACTTCCTTGCTTTAAAATAAGGCTGCCATTTTTCTGCACAGTGTCTCCTTTGTCTAAAACCAAATGGACTTTTTTCCTGACTATAAACCAAAAGTAGGAAAGCTGCATTTGATGGCAGCTCAAAGATGGGCTCATATTACTCAGAGTAAATGAAGTTCTAAAATAAATTATCACGTAAGTTATCACATAAGTATATCACATATATATTCATTGGCAATAAATGAAACCTAATTACAGATTCCGAAGACTGTTCCAATTTCATCTTAAGCACAAAACACATTTGTTGAGAAGAATACCATTCCCAGTTTAAAATGGCTATGGATATGAAAGTTCACCACAACCCACTGAAGTGTATCAAAGGAGCACTGAATTAATCTGTGTGGAAAAAGTGTTCCAGGAAAAGGAGAAACCCTGATACAAACCCTCCCAACACCGTGTTCATGTGCTTCCACTGTGCTTTGTGAATAAGAGAAGGAGAGGACAGGCTCTTTGTTCAAAACCCACACATTCTGTAATTGTCAAAAGGACCTGTTGTAGAAAGTCAGCTTACTGTGTACAATTTTACATTTCTATCCCCACTTTCTTTTCCTCCTCCAATCTTGCATAATTTTGTGGGAGACTTGGCATTTTAGGTTATTTGCTCAATGGGGTAAAGAAGGAAAGCACTTGGATATCTGAAGTATCACGAAAGCATGAACTACAAACGTTGGCCTTTACACCCTGTACAGAGGGAAGCTGCTCCTGGAGCTGAACTTTGTTCCTCAAGCTGCCTACCCAGTCACGGAAGACTGAGCGCAAGCCATTTGGTGCTGGACACTTTCCTTGTAGAGTGTCTGCTCCTCTGAGAGGATTTCAAAAGATCCATATACTGAACTACTCTTTGCACTGAAGGGTTATTTTAAAATCCACTTATACATGAAAGGAATACGACTATATTTACTGACATAGTCTCAAGATTGAGAACTTTGTTGTTCTATTAAGCAAACCTCTTAAGGCAAAAGAACTTAGCCTGAGATTCTCATCATCATAATAATGATGTCACCACTCTCACCACCAACTGGGTGCAATTCATTTGCTTTATGTGATAAAGAGGTAAATATGCCACAAAAGAAACCTAGAGTTCTGGCTGGGGGCTCAGTTGGTTGGAGCATCATCCCATTCACCTAAAGTTTGTGGGTTTGATCCCTGATTGGGGCATGTACAGGAAGCAACTGATTGATGTTTCTCTCACACAGATGCTTCTCTCTCTCTCTCTCTTCCCTCCCCTTCCTTCCTCTCTAAAATAAATACCAGACAAAGAAATATGGCCCAAATGAAAGAACAGATCAAAGCTCCAAAAATAGAACTAAGCGATGAACAGATAGCCAACCTAACAGATGTACAGTTCAAAACACTGGTAATCTGGATGCTCACTGAATTGGTAGAGCATGGTCACAAAATGGAGGAAAAAGTGAAGGTTAGGCAAAGTGAAATGAAGAAAAATACACAGGGAACCAACAGGAAAGGGAAGGAAACTGGAACTCAAATCAACGATTTGGAGCAGATGGAAGAGGTAAACATTCAACCAAAACAGAATGAAGAAACAGGAACTCAAAAAAATGAGCAGAGGCTTAGGAACCTCTGGGACAACTTTAAACGTTCCAATGTCCAAATCATTGTGGCGCCAGAAGGAGAAGATGAAGAGCAAGAAATTGAAAACTTATTGGAAAAAATAATGAAGGACAACTTCCCCAGTCTGGCCAAGGTAATAGACTTCCAAGAGATCCAGGAAGCTCAGAGTCTCAAAGTTGGATCCAAGAAAGCACATGCCAAGGCACATCATAATTACACTACCCAAGGTTAAAGATAAGGAGAGAATCTTAGAAGCAGCAAGAGAAAAGAGGAGAGTTACCTACAAAGTAGTTCCCATAAGACTATCAGCTGACTTCTCAAAAGAAACCTTACAGGCAAGGAGGGACTGGAAAGAAGTATTCAAAGTCCTGAAAGACAAGGACCTACATCCAGAATTACTCTATCCAACAAAACTATTATTGAGAATGGAAGGGCAGATAAAGTGCTTCCCAAATAAGGTCAAGTTAAAGAAGTTCATCATCACCAAGTGGTAATTATAAGAAATGTTTAAGGGACTCGTTTAAGAAAAAGATCAAAAAATTTGAACAGTAAAATGACAACAAACTTACAACTATCAACAACTGAACCTAAAAAAAACAAAAACAGAAACACAAACTAAGCAAACAACTAGAACAGGAACATAATCATAGAAATGGAAATCAGAGGGGAGGGAGAAGGGGGCGAATGGGGAAAAAGGTACAGGGAATTAAACAGGGGGAGGTTAAGAATAGTATAGGAAATGGGAAAGCCAAAGAACTAGTATGTTTGGCCCATGGACATGAACTAAGAGTTGGGGGGGGCAGTGAGGAAAGATGCTGGGGGGAGGGGCAGTGCAGTGGGGAGAGGTAGAAAGGGGAAAAAAGAAAAGGTAAAAAAAAAGAAAACAAAACAAAAGACCTAACACCAATGAGATTCTCAGTTTACAATGTCCATGTGAGTTTTTTAACTCACCATTACAGTACGGGTTGGATGGATTAAAGTTCATGGGAAATTCATGCGAAACCTGAAAAGAGGAGAAAGAGGCTGGTGAGGCTGGTTTTGCTTCTCTAGGAGGCAAATCTGTAAGTTGGGATTTCCTCTTACCTGCCACTGGGGAGGTATCTGGGCTCCAAAACCAAAAGCTGGAAACATCTTATCACTAAAAAGAAAATTTTTAAAAGGTAAAAGGTTTTTTCAAAGTAGAATTTTATCTTTACTCATAATAAAACCAATAGGATCTCCTTTTTTAAAATTTTAAAATCTTTAAAAAAAGATAAATCAAAGATTACCCATAATAACCAGAGAAAAAGTGTTAATATACAGCAATTCTCATTCTCAGTATTTTTATGTGATTTGAGGGAGGAAAAATATTCCTTTACATACATTTATACAAATGGGGTTCATATTCCCGTATTTTATAACATATTCTTTTCTACTTATACACTGTATATTATTTCATTGAATAAATATGTAGATAAATCCATAAAGCCGTAAAACCAAACGGTTTTTCATTTGTTTACAGTAAACTCCTGTGGCAGTAAAACCTAAGCTCCACTCACATGGGGTTATCTACAGCCACGTAATAGGAATATTCATACACTGGCCACAGAAACATGGTGCAAATACCACATACAAAACTATCATGTTTATTCAGCAAAATGAATGACTGTTTGGCCCCAGCAGTTTAGGAATGAGGGACAGGGACCTGGATCAATAGTGTCCTGCGAATGGTGCAAGTATTCCCTGGGTGGACTTCTCCCCGCGTCCTGCCACATAAACCTCTGGATTAACAAGCTCATTTCCTACCAGGGACAACCTTCTCCATGTAAACTTTAACAGCTCTTCTTGCATTGTGAACTGAACCTATGTAACATGTCAGATCTTTTCCCAGATTGTAATCTGTCTCTAACTTTGTTTACAGTATCTTCCCCTTTATAGTTTTAACATTAATTAATATGAATAAAAATTTTTTCATGATTTCTGCATCCTCACTGCCAGACTGTGAGCAATCCACATCTATTTTCTGTGGGTCTGTTCAGGGTTGTCTTTGCTATTAAACACAGTCCACCTGGAAAAGGTCCAGATATGAAGCAGACCAATACTCGTCCATTTCCATTTCCGTTCTTCACCTGATAACAGACCACCCAAACAGAGCCCATTCAGCTGATCCCAGCTCCTCAGCCAGTATGGTGTGAGCAGAAGTCATCTGAAGGGACTCCTGGGAGGGATGCACACGCACCCTGGCTCCCTCATCTTCTACTGCCAGAGGACCCAGGACCCACAGCAGCTGCCTGAACCCAAGGTGGATGCTACAGGTTAAGGAAGACAAAGCTACCCTCTCAGTATGAACTCTTATCTCTACCCATGAACACACAAGGGAAACAAACCACTTTGTTTTTGCATGTCCACTTCAGCAGCTTTGCTTGCAATTTATATGGAATAGTATACTAACCAAATTGAGTTCTTGTCCAGTTTCACTATAGCTCCTTTCCCCTGAAATGCCATCTCTGTCAAATGCCAAGTTCACATACACACTTGGGTCTATTTCAAGACTGTTGCTTTGTTCCACAGGTCATGTTCTAATTCCATAATCTTAACTCACATGCCTGTAAAATGTTCTACTATCGGCTAAGAACAAATTTCCCATTTCTTTTATTATATTTTTTTCCTGAAAAATTTCTTGGTTATTCTGATTCATTTTCCTTCTAGAATATTTTAAGAATTATTTTGTCAGGATTCCACTGCAATTTTGATTAAAGTTGATTAATTTAGGGAGACTTCATATCTTACATCATTATGGCATCTGTCTATCTAGAATCATGGGCTATCTTTCCATTTAAATAAGTCTCTTTCTCTGTCTCTCAGTACAATTTTGTAGTGTTCCCTCAGTAAACACCCTAGATATTTAACTAAATTCATTCTCAATTTTTATTGCATTTTGAATTGTGATCTTTAGTCCACCATAACTTCTTTAATCAGTTATGGCTGGTAATTGAGAAATTGTTGATTTTTTATTTTATGTTGTCTCTGACCACCTTTCTGAACTCTCACTACTTTCTCATATTTTTGCTAAACTTTCTCAGGTTTGAGTCCATTCCTTACAGGTCTGCTAGAGTTGATGTCTAGAACTGTTTTGATCTGCTGCCCCTGTGAGGAGTGGCTGTCCCCTTCCATTCACAGTTCCTACTCTATTGTGATTTCCTGCCTCTTGAAGCCAACTTTGGTGAGTTAAAGTTTCCTTAAAAAGTGATCCTTTAATCTAGATTTCCCAGTGTAGTAACAGAAAGTTTTAACATATAATTTTTAATGGTTTTTTTTCCCTGAATCTATGCCTATAATCACCCTCTCATTACTAATATTCTAACGATGTTTTCTCTTTCACTGGGATCACTGTTGGCAAAGACCTGCCTTGGATTTGTTCAACTTGCAAAAAACCACCTCTTCCTTTATTTAATAATGTGGTGGATATTTAGAACTCTCCAAGCCATTCCTTTCTGTTCAGAGGAAGTTAGTGCAGCTGGGAAAGCACATTGCTGGTCAGGCTCAACGCTGCCTCTGCCATTACCAGCCAAGGGACCTAGACAAGGAACTGCCCAAACCTCAGGGTCCTCTGCAAAGTGTGGGTGACAAGAGTACCCCTCCCTCCACAAGGATGTGAATAGATGAACATCACATAGAAAGTGCTTAAATTGTCCCCAACACTTATTAGCTGACATGTGTATAGAATCTGCTATTATGATGATGTCTTTACTCCCTGTTTTTTAACTTAATTTTATTGAAGTTAGTTCATTTATATTCAGTTCTTGTTTAAAAATAAAAGCATGTAAATGAGAAATTCTCCCACATAAAGATAGTACCATGTACAGTCTTCTCATTATCCTCTATTTCTAGAAAGTCTGATACCACACTTTGGTCTTCTCTTTGATCTAAGAATTTTTAAACTTCCACATGGTAAATTCTCTTTAGTTATTATACCTTTCTCGTTAACTTCCGGGTGGCAGTCTGAGAGAGTGACCCTGTGAATGTTTTACCCTTTACATGAGCCCCATTTTGACTGTGTGACTTTGAAAGTTTTATTATACTTATATTTTCAATGGAAGTACTTTGATACTCTGTTATTAAGCATGTCTATGGCTAAATTTTTCATTTTGGATTATGTAAGAAGTGCTCTATAAGTAATTTTTTACTGTTTTTATGAATTCTGCCTTAAATTCATGAGGCTAGTACTGGGATTGCTATCTTTGCTTCAGGTTTATTTGCATTTGCCTAAAAATCGCCTCTTTAAATGTCGTAACAGATTAATGAAAAGCTATTCAATAAGTAAGGGCTTTTGTCATAAAATAAAAGGTAAAAACAAGTGAACTTTTATACTGTTCCCTAAGAGATCCAGAATAAAAAATTACTAATGCCCACATTTTTTTCTACTATTTAGCAAACCTTCAAATGGTCCTATTTAAATCTATTTAATATCCATCCATTGAGAATTCATTCAAAATATTATAGCAATTAGGTCAAGTTATCCTTCAACATTTGTTCAAAGTCACCATTAAGATGATTTTACTGTGACTACCAAGGAAATAGATGTGTTAAGAAATAGTGTCTATGAGTGTTTACAGAATGTTTTATCTGGATTTCAATACACAGATAACTTTTCCCTAATGAGTAAACCCCAAGTAAACTAGGTCAAAGAAACAAGTCTGCTGACTGCAGTCAGCTGTTAAATTAGTACATTGTACCTAATATACTGTAAATGACCACAGGCCATGATGAGAGGTCAAAGGCGAAAACTAGGACTGCCACAAAGATAAAGATATGAGAAAGACACTCCCCCAGCAGTCTATCCCCCTAACTCGATCAGAGAACAAGCAGAGGAAACAGAAACTGCTCCTACCAGGAGTGAGGAAAACAAGGCATACTCACGCATCATAATCTTGAATGACTAGTCCCACAGACCAGATAGCAGTCAAGTACTCATTCACACCGTTGGGGCTGATGTAATGAAGGGAGTCAGGAGACCGTGGGTCACCATTGGAGCCAGTGAAGTCCACCCCCACCTGCAAGTAACAATTGCAGCCCTTACTAATGAAGGTAGGATGTCTACACTGACGTCTGGGAGAGGATCAGGAGGTGAGACACAAACATGCATTCTGAGGACTGCAGCTGTTTCCTCACAAACACCTGGGACCACAGGTAGTTCCAGTCAAATAATTTGAGCCGCAGCATGAAACAGCCTGCCATTCCCATTTGCTAGGTCTCTTAAATCATGAATTATTACACCCATGACTTTAGCTGCAGGGCTTGTATTTGTATGTCTGTTTTTAATATTATTAAACTTACTACAGGATAATCACTGCTTTGTAGATAATCTACTTTCTGTCAGAAAGAAGGAACAGATCTTATTAACACAAATGAAAGCTTCAGGATGTACGCAGACCACCTGTCTAAGGGAAACGCCCCCCACACAGTGTAAATTTCATCAGTTTTGCAGGAAGAGAAAGAACACTGTAAAATGGAAGTGTTCTTACACACACACACACACACACACACACACACACACACACACACACACACAGAGTGTAAATTTGATCAGTCAGTTTTGCAGGAAGAGAAAGGACACTGTAAAATGGAAGTGTTCTTCCTGCAAAAATGACTCCGAAAAATTCAGTGAGTTACTTACAGTAAAATTCAGCTGACATCCTCCCATAATATAGTCAAGGAATGTGCATTCCACTGTAATCTAAAAGCAAACAGCAATAGATAAAACGTAGGCTCTCCTCCTGTACGAGAGAAACAAAGAGCTCTCTGGCAAAATTTTTTAACAGTTTATGACCTCAAGAGAATTGATACAAACACGTGGAAACTGCCCCTACACTTAAGTTTAAACTCCCCCCTCCATGTCATGAATTGGTTTTTACTTCAAGATAATTAGAGCAATGTTAGGATTAGAACAATAACGGTCAAAATTGGAATATACTCACTTTACATTTTGAGAAATAATTAATCTTATACATTGAGAGCTTTAATAAGCATAATAATCAAGATGTTTTTAAAAGCCCACTTGTCTGTTATAAGAAATCTCTTAGATAACTCCCCTCCACTCCTAACTCATATCATTCCTGTCAATGCAGTGCGAAAATACCACAGGGCCGCACATTTCCTAAGGTAATAAAAAACCTTAACATCCTGTCCTTTGCTAAAATGTTGTGAAACCTTGGAAGCAAAGTTACTTGAAAGACTGCTTTACTATTTGCTACTCTGTTCTTTTCCCTAACTTGCCTAGATGCTCACGTGATTCTGCCCCAGATGCAGATGTGTTTGATAGGCAACACTGACAGAACTGGAAATGGGGCTTCATTACATGAAAAGTGGTCAGGGTCGACTAACCTCACACTGCTTCACACTGATGACACCTGAATTCTTGTAGCTTTTCTTCTTCTGTCTCTTTTTTTCATTTATGCATTCAAATTCAATCTATAGTGAGAAAAGACAAAAGATTTGTTCTCACTATTGATATTAGAAATGTCAACGTGAATTTATTTTTTTAAGATTTTATTTAGTTTTTTTACAGAGAGGGGAAAGGAGGGAGAAAGAGGGAGAGAAACATGAATGTGTGATTGCCTCTCATGCGCCCCTTACTGGGCACCTGGCCTGCAACCCAGGCACGGGCCCTGAGGAATCAGACCAGCAACTCTTTGATTCTCAGGATGGCACGCAATCCACTGAGCCACACCAGCTAGGGCAGAGATGTCAATCTGAATTTACATGAATGACTTTTTTCTCCTGGAATCAAACCACCTACTAATGTAGGTCTATTCCAAATAAAACTCTGAAACAATGACATAATACACTAAGTACGTGAAATAGTTATCTGTGAAATTTCCAAAAGGCATTCCTAACATTATATACCTTTAAAAATAGTTTGTAAATATAAATTTCCTTGTAAATCTTCTAAGTAATAATCTTGTTCTTTACAATAAAGGAATTAAAATATTTTACTCCCAGTTTTTACCCTAAGAGAACAAAAAATATGCTGCTTAGAAAAGAACAACAAAACCTACCATCAGAAAACAGAGACATATGAAGCCCAATTCTGTGGTAAAATACATCATCTCTTTTCACTGGGAATGTATGTTACAACCAGATCTAATGTTGTCCTCAGTACACTTCCTTCCCCGGACAGACCGGTCTTCCTTTCCGCCTCCTGTCCTCCTGTCAATCCATAAGGCTTGGCTCATGTCCTCCTCTGTTCTGGTCTTCTCTGATCTTCACCCATCTCTTTAAACTTCTGCAGCCATATAAAACTAACTTACATACTTTGTTATTATTCTCAACTATTTCATTTCATTAATATTTTTTCATAGCTAGTATAATGATCTCTGATTTATACCTTCCAATTCTCACTGTCTTACCTAATAATAAGCACATAAGGTATACTGAGTGAACTTGATGAGTCACCTCTTCTAGTTAATAGAAAGCAGCTTATTTTTACTAATTTTCTAAAAATCAAACATTAAAAAGTACATTTGATACAATGATATAAAACAAAAGTATGTTAAATTTTTTGAGGGTTCAGGATCCTGGCAGAGTCTGAGTCATCATCAAAGAAACTAATTATTGAGTATTTCAGATGCAGAAATGTTCTATATAGAATTCTCACTGCTCAAAGGCTGCATTACTTCATGTACTCACACTCTCATAGTGCCACCAAAGGCAGGCGCTGTCCCAGGCACTGAGAAAAGAGATGGTAAGACAGAGCCTAGCCTTTAAAGAACAGGAGTGAGCAAGCCTGGCACTACGGCCACATTAAAAGCTTCATTTATCACAAATTAGCTGGATTTAGAAAAACTTTACGTGATTCATAAAGTACTGTACAGGTCATAGTTAGCTCATTATAGTCTAAAAGCATGTCATTTATTGATTCTGGAAAATGATAAACTAATCCCATTGAAACAACAATCCAGACAACTTCTCATATTTAGTTCCTTTGGGAGGTCTGCTTTACTTTAAGTGTTCAGGTTTTCACCATTTTCCATTAGTTCTGCCTTTTAAAAAAATCTTTAAGTGGAATATTTGCGGCTGAATTTTGCTGTTTTAATTCAAAGTCTGTTAACTCAAGGACAAATCAATGCTTGCATTGAAACCATAAATGGGATTTGAAAGCCTCTGCTCATCCCACCAGCATCTCTGTACTGGCTGCTTCTACTACCTGGGCTTTGTGAACAGCAGCAGGGACAGACTGGAGATCTCTATGTGACCCACTGAAAATTCTAGCCCTCTATGTTTGTTTAAAACTTATTTCTCCCAATTAGTTAAGCCAAATGCCTCGTAAGTTTTATTTGTTTAGTTTTTAAGTTTTGATCTAAACCTGTCAGCATCTTTTTTTAGGTCACATCACTCACATGACTTGGCAAAATAGACTTTCTCACCTGGCCATGACCTTTTTCCATGGCTGTATTTTCAAATGCAAATGCTATGTATATATAAAACACATGAGCATGTTTCAGGTCTCTAAGCAGCTAATAAACATTCATATTATTCTGTTTTAAGTTACAAAGAGCATAAACACCTTATCTCATTCAAACTAGAAAGGTAAATAAGATGAAAGCAATTTCTAAGTTTTACTTAAAAAATTCTGTGGAACAGCCCTAGCTGGTGTGGCTCAGTGGATTCAGCGACAGCCTATGGACCAAAGGGTCGTTGGCTTGATTCCCAGAATAGAGCACATGCCTGGGTTGCAGGCCAGGTCCCCAGTTGAGGGTGCAGGAGATGCAACCACACATTGATGTTTCTCTCCCTCTCCTCCTCTCTCCCTTCCCCTTTCTAAAAAAATAAATTAATTAAATTAAAAAAATAAAATTCTGAAACAGTATTAACCACACTGGTTTAGAGACAGAAAAGTTTCAGAGGCGTTCTTAGAAATATGTTGAGATGCTAAACAATAAAATAAATGTAGTGAGGGCAGACACATTGTTACCAGTAGATAGTTTCTCCACAGTGCCAGGGAGTCTCACCATTGGCCAAGATGGTGCCAGGGGGAGGTTCTTACACTGGGCGCATGGAAAGCTAGAAATATCTCCTAATATCTAGCTTGGGTAGGGCCCAAGCGTACAAAAAGTAGCAAGATAATTGGATAGTGAAAAAGCCCTTCCCCACCCCTACCAGATTAGGTGTGGTACCAGGGCAAGGTAGGCACACGTGCCACAAAAGTCAAAATGGCACAGGGGGAGGTACTAGACCCAAGAGGCCAATCAATCTAGCTTGGGAAAAGAAGGGATTGGTTGGGAGGTGGACCCACCTGAAGTGCACAAAAGTTTGAGAAGCTGATTGATCATTCTGAAAAAGCACCTGGTCTGTTCCACACCCAAGCTAATATAATCCCAGGGGAACAAAGAGGTTCTCTCTCGCTCGTGACTTGCGGGCTCACTCTCTTGCTTGCTCACGACCTGGACTTGCATGGTACACTTGCCTGTTCTCTCTATGGGTAGCCCATGGCTTCCAGAAGGAATTTCTTTCTTTCTCTCGCTCTCTCTTGCCCACCTGGGGATGCTCTTGCCCACACATCTGAGCATTCTCCAGCGACTATTCAACCTTGTGGCCTTAGCAGCCACATAGCCCATGACCATGTGGGCTCCACACACAGGCTCCAGAAGTGAGCCTAAAATGAACAGCAATTGGGAACAAGCTAAGCTACCTGGGTGGGGGACTATGACAGATTAGCAGGCACCTGTGGGCTCCAAAGGGCTGTACTTTAAATTGGAGCAGGAACTCTGGACACTGGTTTTTGTCTTGGTTTGGCTGAGGAGATGGGCTTTGAGATAGGAGTCTGCCATTCTCCCAGACTGTGCAGCACCTGCATAAAACTTCTTTCCTTCTGCACAAGCATCTGCCTCACACACTTGGCTCTTGTGGCAACAGGCAGCCAAATCCCTATTTTTTTGTTTGATTACAATATGATCTTAACATAATTAGGGCCATTAGATGGCAGCTCCATACTCCTTCATTTGAAATACCGTATCTGTGCTTTCATTCTTCCCATGGGTAAGGACAAGTCGGAGAGAAGAGCCAGAGGCAGGCTGTAAAAGTGGACACAATTTTTAAAAAGTATACACAAGTATTTATCCAGTGCTGTGGCTACTAATTATTGTGACCAATGAAATGCCAAACGCTTTAAAACTAAGAATTTTCAACCAAACCATGTGTGTTGTCAATAGCCAAGAAAACAAAACATCTAAATCTTGTGTAAACTCACACCTCAAGTATGAGTTTTGGGTCATCTGGTGACTAAACAAATAAAATCCACAGATTTCTGAGCATTATACAGTACAGAGTAAAACATGTGGTAAACATTTGCTATGCCAAGGGGAAAAAATGAAATACTAACTGTATGGCCAAACTGTCAGGTATTTTCAAACAACAAAAATGCAACTTACAGGTGAGTTCCTGGAGGCTTCTTTCAGTTTAGTCATGGTGGTTTGAAATGTCCCAATGAGATCATGTGACCCATCGTTATCATAGTCATAGCACTCTACCTAGAATTAAGTATGACAAAAATATATAAAAATCAACATAGCTGTGTTTAAAAAGTATTGGCTGCAACCAATGGACTTACCAAGAAGTGCCATTTTCATTCAAGTAAGTAAAAATGTTTAGCGTGCAGGTCTCCTTGGAGAGGTAGGAAATGACCTCCTGGAATCCTTTGGAATCCTAGTGACCCTGGTATGGGTTCCAGGCAGATCACAGGCAAATGAGAAACAAGTACTATTCAATTTCCACATTAAGTACTTTCCAGTTCCTCTATCATGTCCTCTGTTAAGTTCTGATAAAATCAAAATGGAATTATATCTCTTCCTCATCCACTTCTTTACCTTGTTATCACTGACCAATGGCTAAAAGCCATTATATGGTGGAAGAGAGGAAGACAGTGTGCAGGCAGCTGAAAGGCATAATAGATGACTTAAAATCATAGAAAGAGTGTTTCATCCTGCCATCTGGCAAGGCTAGGCTTGCATGAGGGTTAGACATGATGAAGTCATATGACAGCACTCTGAGGATCACAGCTCCTACGATGAAAAGGAAAATTTGGGGGGAAAAGTACTGAACCCCCTTGCAAAGTTTCTGCTCCTACAGGAGGCTGGTGAAGTCCAGCCTCAACAGCAGCTCTCGCCCAGTACATCCTCTGTCTCAAAGCCAACACCACACAGCTGAATGTGTGATTCACATGCAGTTTGTTGCCAGGTGGACAGATGTAGTGGAGAGTAAATATTCACAAGAATACCTAAATATCGGTGGCAATGAAAGACTTAAGGTGATGTAAGCTGTTAGCAAGCAGAGGTGTTATGGTGAACAATGAATAACCCAATGTCTTCTTAGTGCTTTTACTTTCAAAATAGGTCATCTAATTTCTGCAAACCCTTATTATGTGTACTGCACGTATTAGCTATTAAGCTTGTGAAATAGCCAGAGGAATTAAACAGTCTTGGAAGACATGTCCTGTGTGGTGCCCAACATAGTTTAAAGGAAGGCTGTGCTAAGGACACTCTAATCCTTCTATAACTGTGATTGCCTGTATCTAAAAAGCTATTGGTACTGGCCCCATGCCATCTTGCTATCATTCTTTACAGAATTATGTTAATCCCCACGCTAAAGTGCTCACTGTATTTCATAGCATGAAATTAATAAATTTCATAAGCCTCACCAAAAATTTCAGGATTTATACATCTCATCTGACAAAGTGATTTTTTTCTTCTCAGTTCTATGAGAAGTGAATCAGGTACTTATCATAACAGGAAGTCTTAACTTTATTTCCATTTTTACTCAGGAAGACTAAACATTGATCAATGAACAAAAACAAAGAAGTTCTAGAATTGTAATTCTGAGTAACTGTTAAGAGTTTTCATTGGCTGAAAGCACTTTGGCCACTGACTAATCCTGTTTAACTCTTCCACTGTGTATGTGATGCTCAATTTTTAAGCCCAAAGCCCTTTATCTGACTCTTTAAAGTATTAGGGAAAAGAAAAAATAATGATCTTAATTATTTTCCAGATGAACTAAAATAAGATAAAATCAAAAACATCTTAACATTTTAATAATTTCATTTTAATAGCTTTTAAAAAATTTATGGACAACAGAATGTTACATTTTAGATTTGCATTCAAGAAACTACAATTTATACCTAAAGCAAAATCAAGCTTTGATAATGCCAAGATTTTATTTAAACAAAGCTTATGAAGAGCTAATACTGTTCATATGTTTAGTCTGCCTGAAACTTCAGGGAATGTAAAAATAGTTTTCAACTGTAATTTCTGATAACTCACTATATTGCTCCATTGAAGGTCAATGTTTGGTGCTAAAGAAAAATGTGGCATTTATAATGCTGGCACATGTTCAGATACAGTTTGACAGAAGATAATGTAATGATTGTGTCATTTAATTCCTATTCTTAAGAATTCGAATATTAGGACTACTGTCTGCTTTAAACAACAGTATCATAGTGTTTGTGAAATTGAAACATATGCATATATACATTGGCGCACATGTATATATGTAAAGAATGCACACACCACACAATACCACATCTACTAAGGCATTCCAACTTCAGGCAGGGTGGCAGCATGCAGGATTATTTCTCTGTCACTGGATGTTATGAAAATGATAATACATGCTAGAGTGCACATTCATACTGCAGCAAAGAAACTGCTGATGACTGCAACTCTTTCCTCTGCTCTATAACTTTATACACCTCTGAGCAGTTTCCAAATACCAAGAGAATCACAGATGTATGACTTCCTGATATTGCAGAGACACAGACAGTGATGATGTGGCAAACCAAGTTGTGTGTCATTAAAACAAACTAAGAAACTTTTAAGAATGGAAGGCATTCATCAGAGTAAGCTTAGAAAACCAGTGTACTTACTATAATAAAATAGCCCTGTAAGCAAGCCACTGTGAGCAGAAATTTAAAAAACATTGTTTCACCATTAACTTATTATAATCAAAGTTTTCATTTAGACATATTTTTCACAGCCTCTCTTGCTTCTCAGATCAAATGAAGCTTCAACTTACTACTTTTAATGTGAAAAGCAAAAGCTCTAGATTTAGTATAATAAAAAGTAAAATTTTTTTGAATTTTTATGAGTTTATTTGAGCCAAACTGATGACATATGTCGGGCAGAAAGATCTTAAACGCTCTCAGAAGTAATTTTTAGAGCTACTTTTCTACTCTTTATTTTGTACTGTATGTGCCTCAATGGTATGTAGATTATTTTGAGCTAAAGGCAACTGAGACTCTGTGGGCTCAAGAAAAATTTTGCTCATCCTTAACTATCTAGAAGACTTTAAAATAGGAGCCTGACCCATGATGAGAGTTATCATCAGCAATGACTTTTTACTTGTCTATATGGGAGGGCAAACTAATTATCACTGAACATGTGCTTTCCCTCAATGATCTTCTGAAGCTCCACGGTGGCTTACATCCTCCCTAGCTCAGAATGTCTACTAGACCTCAGCTTCCCTTTGTGTCTCTAACTCCCTCATGTAGGAGGGGTTCTCCTACATATGTAATTACAGTTGGTCAATTTCTCTTGCTAATTTGTCTTGTGTCTATTTGAATGTTAAACCAGCTAACAGAGCGTTGAGAGTAGCGGAAAGCTTGTTCTGCCCCTGCCCAAAAGCTAAATTTTCACTGCTGTTGGGAATATCACACAACTTATACTGACATTATTTTTTAAAGTTCTCTGCAGTTTTCAATAACAACAGCATCTGTACTGTGTTTAAGAGTTTAAAAAACTTCATTTTTGCTAATTTAATCCTTTTTTGTAGTGTAGACACTATTTTCTCCATTATATAAGTGGAAACATTAGATGACCTGTTCAAAATCCCTTAGCTGATTAAAGGACTGAATCAAGACTTGGACTGTGGTCTGATTTTCACTCTTCCACTTGTTCCATGCCATCAACCTCCCTGTTTTTGCCATATTCATTACAAAAAACAAAAACAAAAATCCATCTCAGTTTGCTGACACCAGAACATAAGAAAAGGCTTCTATCAGGAATCTTATGTCAACAAGTGACTCTAGTATAAAAATGTCCTTAAAATAATATATATTTTTGATACATGATTATAAATTAAGAACACTTTAGAAAATTCTTAGATATCTGCTGTTGCTCCCTGTTGCCACTGCCTTCCTGATCCTCTAAAACTGAAGCCACTTAAACGTCCAGTGTTTGTATTTTGCTCTGGAAATAAGTGACAGAAATGCCACTGCTGTGCTAGGGGAAACATCTGCTTTATCTGCGAGGGACATACCAAAGGCAAAGAGGGTAGTTAAAGGTCCTATTAATGGAATCTTTTTAAAAGGGAGAAAATTTTATATTAGACATTTTATTTTAAAAATAAAAAAGTAAAATAAAAATCACAATGCTGATTCAGCATTAGGTCAACAGATCAGTCAAACATGTTGACTCTTCAAACAATTTACCAATCAGAGACATCTCTACTTTAGTATACTTAAATATGAACAAAAGTGAATCCTACATGTATGTTAGTTACATCATGTACTTTTTCAAAAATAGTATCGCATCAATCACTTTTACAAAAGAGGTGAGTTTGTCTGTATAAATAATTTCAAATTACCTTAATAGTTTTATCCATATCTCCATAGCACAGTGAGTTAAGAGAGATTTTAAAAGGCCTCCAAACAGGATTCAAGTTGTTTTTAATAACCTATAAAAGTAGATTTTCAAAGACAAGTTAGGAAAGCATTCAGTTCATTAGCCTTTTGTTCTTGCCTTTCCTAGATTCTGCTGTGCTCTAACCAATCATCCTCCACCTCTTCAGCCAACTTTTTCACTGAGAAACTACCTAGGTCAATATTATACAACTGTTACATAAAAAATGTGACAGACAGGTCAATATTATACAACTGTTACACAAAAAATGTCTAGTTGTGATACATGCTAAGAAAAGAAAAAAAACTACTTGGGAAATACAACCACCCATTATAAGATACCCTTGTGTGAGAAATCAGGGTTTCCAGTGCAGCATATAGAGGACTCAAATATGAAATAATAAAGTCTGAGAAAGAACTGTGCTGGGTTGGATTTGGTTAAAGAAATAGTCTTACGTTTACAATTAAATTTTTTAAAACATATATAATAATAAACAGGTATAAACAAATATACATGCTTCCCAGCAGAGTCCACTGCAAAGGTCTAAATGCTATGATGTCCCAGTAGCAACGAGTACATCTAGCCCTCAGATCTTGGCATCTAAATGCCACCACACTTTGAAAAGAATAGGATCACTTCAGAGAAATGGGTTGTTCCAGACCTGGCACAGAAAAAGCACAGGGTGAACTGAGACTATAACATAAATTAAGAGAATGCTTAAAGACATAAAGATTAGGGGTCATGTTAAAAGAAGCCAGTGCCATTTGAAGGCATGCCTCCAGTCAAATTTAGATTAATTTGAGCAGCAAAAAGGGTAACAGTAATGAATTATAAATAATGAACACACTATATTATAATAATCCATGAGTCCACAATGACACTAAAAATAAAGAAGGAGAAAGTGAGAGAGGAGTATCTGCTAATATGCTTAAGGGACAGAAAATAAAGGAAAGAATCACTGTGTTGTGACTCAATATAATAACTGGTTCAGGCATGGATCATGAGTAGATGCTAAAGCCAGTGGGTGAAAGGTGGGAGAACAGCCTCAAAGTGCCACACCACAGACCACCTATTAATTACAAAGGGGTGGTCACCAGTGTAACCACCTGGGCAACGTTAGCATCATCAGTACCAGGCAGACTGACACTGTGGGTTCCCTGCTGGTGTACAACAAGAGACAAAGAGTGGTCCAGATGGCCACATCTGAGCAGGACCTAGCTGTGAGGAAACACAAGACTCCAGTGTGCTGACAGACTGGTCTTGATTATTCACGAAATTTGATGGCAGGAAGGTGCAGAAAAGCAGAAAAAGTCTTGTACTGGGAACATAATAGCCAAATGCAAAATGTGAGCTTTGATTGATCCAGGACACAACAAAACAGTATGCTTATAAACATGTGGGACAGCTTGAAAGGCCTGAAGAAACTGTTAAAAACCATGTTAACTCTTTCAGATGTGACTGGGTAGGAGAATGTCCTTGTTCTCAAGAAATTCCTATTCTACTATTTAAGGTGAAGAGTTGTCTGCAGCCCACATCAGGACAGCTCTGAAAAAGGGTAGTACCTATGTGCAAGTGAGAGAGAGAGAGAGAGAGAGAGAGAGAGAGAGGGAGGGGGAGGGAGAGGGAGAAGGTACAAATATACAGGGATGCATTTTCGTGTTCTTTATAGGGTTTTTAAGTTTTCAAAAAAAAACTTTACTAATAACTATGCAGGGTAGCATCCCCTCATCAAAAGAAAAAAGATCGGCATGGTGACCTGTGCCTCTGGCTATGCATATCTGAACGCAGATATTTTTATAGAAATATAATTTTTGTTTTATTTTTAAAGATTTTATTTATTTATTTTTAGAGAGAGGGGAAAGGAGGGAGAAACAGAGGGTGAGAAACATTAATGTGTGGTTGCCTCTCGCATGCCCTCTATTGGGGTCCTGGCCTTCAACCCAAGCATGCATCCTTACTGGGAACTGAATCAGTTACCCTTTGGTTCATAGGCTGGCACTCAATCCACTGAGCCACACCAGCGAGGGCTATAGAAACATAATTTTTAAAATAATATTTAATTACTACAATTGTGAAGGAAACCTCGACCCTACTTTTCAAATTTGGATGTTCACCTCTGTTCGATGAACCATGAGCCAGTTTCCATCAGATGTCTGCTTGTGGAATTCCAGATATGGATCTGATTTTCCAAATAGATCCTACATTAAAAAGAAAAAGCAATTATTCTCCTCTAAACCACTTTATGCCTATTACATGTTAATAACACCTGAAGTCTGCCCCCTCCCGAGTACAGATATACAGAGTACAGTACCACAGTAAATACAAACCCATCTCCTTCTTCACAGACTTGCTGACATCTATCTGGAGAACTGTGATGGTATTTCTGATATATGATTCTAATCCTTACTTCTCAAAAAACACAATGGCTTTAAAATATAGTGACCAATATGACCCATCAATATAATATATATTTGGCTGTTTTCATTATTAACATTGTTCATTTGCACAGCACTGGGTAGTTTTTATGTAAGCAAACACTAGTCATGCTAACTGAGGGACCAGCAACAAAATGGACTCAGAGGGGTTAAATTATTTGCTAAGACCACATATCTAATTATTGATGGACCTGACTCTTTACTCCATATCTTATCCATGTCCAATTTCACACACAAGGGAGCAGAGGTAAACACGTGGAGTATGCAACAGAATTACTTCAAGGGCACACATCTTTTTCCTCTCTAATTTCCAACAGTAATCTTATATAGTGCTTAGCACATTGAATGCTCAGAACTGTCCTTATTACCACCCTCAGAACACACACACACACACACACACACACACACAGACACACACACACACACGATAAAATTATAGAAGGATACACAAATCACACCCAGAGGTTAAACTCAAGTAATAAAATTACAGGTGATTATTTTCTCATTTTCATTTATCTTCATTTTGAAATATCCATACTCCTTAGAATACATTACTTATTACTTGTCAAAATGAAAGGACACCAGTTAACTCCACTGTCATACATGCAGCTATGCCCTTCATTGAAGAGTTTTGAGTTCTGAATTAACCTTAGTACTAAATTAAGAACAAAGACAGTATTATTTCCCTACTTAGTATAGTTTACTGTCAAGCAAGAAACACAGTTGGTACAGTCAAAAATAGAAACACAAGAACTAGGAAGAACTAAAATTTAATGTCTGTAAGAACAATCGTAAGTAAATATAAAAAGCCTCTTTATGCCCCATTTTATATTGTAAAACTAGTAACAGCACTATACAAAGTTAACTTTCCAAAAACATACGAACCTGCCCTGTCTTACTTTTCATAGAAATAAACCTATGACAGAGGCAAAATAGCATTATTACCATTTTGAAGGTAAGAAAACAGACCTTGTATGAAAGTTCATTAAGTTGTCAGTAGAACTAAAATAAGAATTGAAAGTTTCTGACTCAGACCCCCAAGTATGTTACATGAAAAAAGGAAGGTGGAGTAAAGTTTGCATGTGGTATGACACACTTACCAAAGGGCCAGGGGTGGGGACAAATAGAAATACAAATACACACACACACATCTCTCGATTCAAAGATAAACACATATATGAGGGAGGACCCCAAAAAACCCAGAATTTATTTATAAACAATTGTATATTTATTCTTAAGTGCTTAAACTTCAATCACCTTCAAAGTACTCTCCATTTGATGCAATACACCTATCAAGACGTTTTTTTCCACTGCTCAAAACAGTTTATGATGCCTTTTAGTGCTTCTGCCATTTTTTGTTTCATTTCTTCCACAGCAGCAAAAACGTTTCGCTTTGAAGACTTTTTTCATCCAGGGAAACAAGCAAACAAAAAGTTGCCCGGGGCACAATGAGGTGATTAGGGAGGGTGGGGCACAGTGGTCATGCCTAAAACTGCTGAACACTCAGTGTGGTGTTAGCAGGTGCGCTCGTAAATCACCCATCATGAAATGAGCAAATGCGTTGAGTCTTCAAAAAAATCTTCACTGAAGCCAAATGCAGCCTCTCACAACAACGCCAGCTGGTACCCTGATATAGATGGGTTCCTAGAACACTCACCTAGTACAGGAAGCCTATACTATAAGGCTTCCACCAGCCAGAAGATACCCAGGGATTTTTTGGGTCCTCCCTCATACATACGTGTATATATGTATATGTACACATACAGACACATATACATATACACAAAAAACCTTCGATTTTTTAGTAAACTGAAAGATTAAACCATAAAATATAAATTAAAAAAAGACTACCTATGAGAGGGAAAAACAGCAGACAGGGAAAAAAGCTAAGTTTCTTGAATATACCTTGTTTTATAGATTTGGCCTTGGAACCATGTAAATCTTTTATGATTATAAAACAAAATTAAATAAAAAAAATGTTTAAAGGAATTCATAAATGTCAAAAGCAAAGTTCTACTATGTGCCAATGTGACAGGTTAACCACTCAGAGAAGAATTATTTCTTTCAAACAAAAGAATTTGTATAACCAAATGGAAGATAATTAAAAGGAAAAAAAACTTCAAAGGAGGCTCAAACTGTTTCTAGTAAAAATACTTTAATTATAACCTGGATATTTTTATTCTGAAACTATTTCATACTATATAAGACAGAATGGATAAGCAATTATGTTAATATCTTTAGGAACCAAGATTTTCAGCATAAGAAAAAACAGGTATAAGTATTGAATTAAAGAAGTGAAGCCCTGTAATTCTATATCTGAGTTGGAAATAACTATATAAACTTATAATTTAGTTTTTCTATTTTATTACATTAAAACACTCATAATGGAAGTTCTTAAATTTTACTTAACATACAAAGAACTAGCTAGTACTGTTTTTGTGGTAAGCCAGATGTCTTAAATAACCCATTCAAGAAAGTTCACTTGATCCAACTTAACAAAGTCTATACCTTTGCATACTGACAGAGATACAAGTGGCTGGTGTTGAGGCCATATGTCCAATCAGACCACCCAGTTTGAGAAGATGCAGCAAGAACGAGAACCCTGGCCAAATGTTCTTGGACAGCTCTAGCAGAGCTGCTGGTGACTTATCTTGCTCTCTCTAATACAACAAGGCAAAAGGTAACAGTTTTTCTTAAAAAATAAAATATTTCCTATATCTGACTACTGACTGAGAAGCCACAGAAACAATGAGCAGCCACAATAAACAGCTCCCTAGCACCTGCCTGTGGACTCTAAGTACTGGCTTCCACTGACATGCAGTATGGCACCATGTCATGTACCAATCTGGGGCAGAAACTGGATGAAGTGAGCCTGGAATATGTGTCTGGAACATGTGTCCTCCTATAGGGAAAGGGAGCTATCAGAGACCCCTGCGTTGTCCAGATGGTTTCAGGGACAAACTACAGAGGACCCCATAGGCCAAAGTTGGGATACTCTTTGAGTATCAGTAAGAATTAATCAATAGAATTCACAGTAATACTAAAAATAAGTAACAAACACACAAAAACCCTATTGGTCACATTTAGAGAATAACAGGGAACCAACTTATTATTCCAAAACATGGTAAATAAGAGGAAAAAAGTCAAACATTTTAACTTGCTTTTTCTGTACAAACTGTGTCTCAAAATAAGTAATGCCCAACATGGGGAATACTTTCCTCTGTAGAAGTATTCTCACTAATAAATGAAGAAGTGATGATTACATGAGAATGTCATTATTTTATAGACCCTTAATAAAACAGTATGTCTAGATAGTTATCATCCCAAAAGACACATTTGACAATGTGAGCCTCTTGACAGAATTATGGGCCGAGAGCTGTGAAACTGCCTTACCAACAATTCAAAATACCATGAGGTCATACCTCTAGATTCAATTACCAGCTTAGAGAAATCAAGAAATAATGGTGGAAAGAAAAGCAATTTACATGACATGACAGGGATCTAAGCAGCCTTACACACTATGGAAACTTCTACAGAACAAAGTAGTCAGTTTCTCTGTGGAATAAATTTCATGAAGGATGGATAGATGGAAGGATGGATGGGAGGGAGAAAAGGACAAATAAGAGAGGGAATGAGGGAGGGAAGGATCAAGGACAGAAGGAAAAGGAAGGAGGAAATTTACAGATTAAAATGATTTAAGAGACACATTAACCAATTATATTTTTTTAAGAGTCTTTTGAAATATACCAGAATATTTACAGATGAAATGATGTGATGGCTAGGAGGAGGGAAAGAAAAAAGGGGTAGAGATAAATAAAATTGGTCATGAGTTCTAATTATTGAAGATGGGTGACAGGACATGAAATTTTTTAAAAAAGTACTATTCTATTTTTGTGTATGTTTAAATTTTCTAAAGAAAAAAAAGTCCCTGACTACTAGTCTAACATGTTTGCAAACTGATTTGTAAGGAAATGCAAATGATGAAGAATACCAATTGGATAATAAAGTACAAAAAGCATGCAAAGAATTATTCCAATCCATATAATATAATACATTGTTGTATTATTATGTAACACACTCATCCCTCATTAAAAATAGACTTCTGAATGCAAAGAGGAAATTCTGTAATTAATAAAGCATGAAATCTTTGCTTGTTTTCTTTAAGGTAATCCAATACACCTTAATATCTTTTCCAATAACATTAATGCTTGTATTGACTCTTCTTTTGAGCAAGAAGAACCCTTTTATTATATCGAGAGGTAAAAGGTAAAAGGAAACGAGTTCTGCTTACACACAGACACACATGGACAGACATAGACAGACACACACATACTCACAGATATACACTCACATACACAGAGACACACACACAGAAAAGCAGGGTTTGGAAGGAACTAAAACTCCAAGTGATGCTCAGATGATGGAGCTTATATTAACTGCAAACAAGAACCAATGTGTGGCAAACAAGACATATCCCTATTAAAGTTTGCATCTCCTACCCACCTTATTATCCAGTTTTCTTGCTTCCATTTCAAACAAGACCACTCTGTTATCCTTTATTTCTTCTGCTGAAATCTAAGAGTAGATAAGGTAAGTGAAGAAAGCTTGTTTCAGGGATTCCAATACACTCAGGAAGTACCGATATTCTGTTACCTAACAGTATATAAAGTCTATGTTAATATAAATAAATTCTAAAATGGTTAATAACTAAATGATACATTTAAGAGATTTATCATTATAGCTTTCATGTACGTGCAATAAATATTTTCCCAAAATATGCTGAATCTCGTCATATACCCTTCTTTTTAGGTTAAATCTCGCTATGCACCTTTCTTTTTACATTAAATCTTGTTATGCACCTTCCTTTTTACATTAAATCTCATTATACACCTCCATTTTTAGGTTAAATCTGCATTATGCACCTTCCTTTTTAGATGCTGTTGCCCCAAATGGATTTCCCCATCCCAGTGAGAAATCAAAGACCTGGGGAAAGTCAGAACACCAGCTAAAGCTCTCCAAACCCTGGGAAGTGAGCAAATCATACCTAGAAAACACTATCAACTGAAATATCACATGACTATTTTTTATCCAATTTAACTGAGTTATTAGCTGTCAAGGGCCCAAGAGCAATAAAGGTAACTACCCACAATGTTCTCTGTGCCATGAATGTTACCACTCCCAACAGACTGAACATTCTCATGCTTTAGGAAATTTAAACAGGAGCAAAACGCAGGGAAATGGGTTTCATGATGGAAATAACCCTCAAATGAGGCTCTCAAGGAGCTAAACTTCCATTTGCAGAACTAAAGTCAGAAACTATTGCTCTGGGAGTGATTGCCCAGACACAAGGCCCAGAAGGTAAGATCATTAAAAGCACAGCATTATATAATTTGGGATCTAAAGCAGGATAAGGCATACACATTCATTGACCCAGGGCTACTCATCAGCTACCAAGTCCTGCTGGGAGGATGGGCAGCAGAGTGTGGGCACAAAAAAAAAAAGAGGTGCTGGCCATGTCACAGTGTGAGACCCATCAGGAAAGAAATCCATCCTGAAAATTCTGTCATGTTGAGGGGATGACTTTGCTTTGCACAGAGCCAGGTGGATCCATTCAGATTAAGTAGTTTCTCTCTAAGTGAGGAATTTAAACTTCCATGGGAGTGAGGCATATCAGCAAGTTACTCTGGACCCTGTAAACAATTTAAAAACTCAAAAGGGATTTTGTGTGTATGTGTTTTTCTTTTTTGGCACACATGTTGCCCATCTGTGATCGCTCTCCAGCAGGGAAGGAGGAGGGCACCACCCAGATGAAATGATAAAGCATAGCTGTAGGGCACCTGCCTATAGAGTTTCAGTGTGCCCTCCACATAAATTTTTTGAGGCAAAAGATAAATATCTTGTTACCGTGATGCTGCCTTTACCCGCAGGTCTGCCGTTTTTAAGCACCAGTGGTCGAGTCAACTTCTTACTGGAAACAATCTGTTAAAAGAAGAAAGTGACACAAAGACCTTTTCTACTTCATCTTGTGAAATTTTAAACTGAATGGTTTTGAAAAAAAGTTTGAGTAAGAAGTTCTAAAAAGCCATCAGAAGTGGAAATATTAAGTCCATTCTGTAAAGATGAAGTGATTCTAAAATGCATGGACACATTTAAAGATTTTATTTAATTACTTTTAGAGAGAGGAGAAGGGAGGGAGAAAGAAAGGGAGAGCAACATCGATGTCCCAGAGAAACACTGATCAGTTGCCTCTCATACACCCCAACCAAGGACCTGGCCTGCAACCCGGGCAAAAGCCCTGAATGGGAATTGAACCAGCAACCTTTTGGTCTGTGGGACAGGGCCCAACCCACGGAGCTATGACACCAGTTGGGACATGCATAGACACATTTAAAACCAACTGGAGAGATCCAAGATGGTGAAGGAGTAAGCAGAAGCTACACTGATCTCCTCCTAGGACCAATCTGGAATTACAACTAAGTTGTAGAGAAATCATTCTGAATAACCAACTGTACGCTAGCTGGAGAGAAGTCTTATAACCACGGAGAGACAGATGATACCACTTCACCACAACAAGGCTGGTAGTAGCATGGAGGAAGCATGACAGGGTTGGCTGGGCTGCCAGAGGTGGCAGCAGAAATTCTGGAGGGATATTTCAGCAGCTAGAGGGTTCCCCCTGAGAAGCGTGACATCTAAACCCCAAGCTGGGCTCCCGAGCCTATAGCACCAGAGCCTGAAAGGAACCCAGGTAATATCCAGCTTTGAAAAGCAGCAGGCTTTCTGTCTGCCAGGAAGAGTGGCTGAGGACGCAAAGAGCCTCTTACAGGGCCGACACACAAAATTTAGTTTGTAGCCAAGTACCCTGGGCTTTGGCAGAGGGAGGGTAGAGTGGACTGGAGACCCTTGAGGAGAGTCTGGGGTTGGTGGCTCTGGAGAGAGAACTGAAAGAACAGCTGCCAGGATCACTACACTGAGTCATTCCCCATAGTTCAGGAGCCATCTTTCTCAGGCAGAGCACTCCCCTTCAAGTGGGATCAACCTAAGGGGAAGCAATAGCCCTGTCCACAGGAATTACTCTACCCCACCCTGGGGTGCTTACACAGGCTGACAATTAGAGCTTGAGGCTGTATCTCTGATCAGTTTAAGGCACAAAATACAAAGCAGTAGCCAAAGTGGGAAGACAAAGAAACGGACCCCAAATGAAAGAACAAGAAAATTCTCCAGAAGAACTAAATGAAATGGAGGTAAGCAATTTATCTGATAGAGAGTTTAGAATAATGATTATAAGGATACTCAACAGCATAAAAAAGGACAGAAATCATAAAAAAGGACCAGCTGGATGGAAATAAAGAATGCAATATTTGAAATAAATAATACACTAGAAGAAATAAACAGTAGGTTAGATGAAGCAGAGGGCAGAGTCAGTGATTTGGAGGACAAAGTAGGAAAAAAAATACCCAGGCAGAGTAGCAAAAAGAAAAAAAGAATTTAAAAAATGAGGAGAGCTTAAGAAACATTTTAGACAACATGAAGCATAATAACATCCACATCATGGGAATACCAGAAGGGGAAGAGAGTGAGCAAGGGATTGAGAACCTTTTTGAAGAAATGTAACAAAAAACTTCCTTAATCTAATGAAAGAAAAAGAAACACAAGTCCAGGAAGCTCAGAGTCCCAAACAAGTTGGATCCAAAGAAGCTTATACTAAGATGCATCATAATTAAAATGACAAGGTTTAAAGACAAGGAGAGAATCCTAAAAGCTGCAAGAGAAAAACATGTAGTTACCTACAAGGGAGCACAAATTAGACTGTAATCTGATTTCTCAACAGAAACATGTCAGGCAAGAAGGGAGTGGTGTGAAATATTCAAGGTGATAATAAGCAAGGACCTACAACCAAGGCTCCTTCACCTAGAAAGACTATCATTTAAAATCAAAGGAGAAATAAGGAGCTTTTCCCAGACAAGAAAATGCTAAAGGAGATTGTTAACATCAAAGGATTAATACAACAATGGTTAAAGGGCTTGTTTTAAGAAGAAGAAGAGAAAGGAAAATAGCCTAATGATAAAATGACACTAAACACATATCTATCAATAATCACCTTGAATGTAAATGACTTAAATTCTCCAACAAAAAGACAGAAGGTAGCTGAATGGATAAGAAAAAAGACCATATATATACTGCCTCCAAGAGACTCATTTCAGATCAAAAGATACACACAGAATAAAAGTACAGGGATGGAAATAAATATTCATGCAAACAGAAAGGGAAAAAAGCTGGGGTAGCAATACTTCTGAAAAAATAGACTTTAAAACCTATAGTAAGAGACAAAATGGATACTACACAATGATATTGGAAACAATCCAACAAGAGGATATAACCCTAGTAAACATTCACACACCCTACACAGGAGCATCTAAATATGTAAAGCACGTCTTGATGGACATAAAGGAGAGATCAACAGAAATATAGGCATAGATGTGGATTTTAACAGCACATTGACTTCAATAAATAGATCTTCCAGACAGAAAATCAACAAGACGACTGTGGCCTTAAGCGACACACTAGATCAAATGGATTTAATTGATACCAAAGCAGCAGAATAAACACATTTTTCAAGTGCACACAGAACGTTTTCTAAGAAACACCATCTGTTAAGACACAAGTCTCAATAAATTTAAGAAGACTGAAATCATATCAAGCAAGTCTCCCAAACTCATTTTACAAAGCCAGCACTAGCCTAATGCCAAAACCAGATAAAGATACTACAAAGAAAGACAATTATAAGGCAATATCCCTGATGAACACAGAGGCTAAAATCATCATCAAAATATTCACAAGCTGATTGAGCAACACATCAAATAGATCATATACCATGATTAAGTGGGTTTTATCCTGGAATGTAAGGTTGGTACAACATTCACAAATCAATAAATATGATTCACCACATGAACTAAATGAAGGATAAAAAACACATGATCATAACAATAGATGCAGAAAAAGCATTTGATAAAATCCAGCATCCATTTATAATAAAAACTCTAAGCAAAGTAGGTTTAGAGGGAGTATATCTAAACATAATAGAGGCCACATGTGACAAATCCACTGCCAGTATCATATTCAACTGTCAAAAACTACATATGTTCTCCTTTAGATTGGAAACAAAATAGGGAAGTCTGCTAACAGAAAGGGAAATTAAGAAAATAATCCCATTCATAATTGCTACAAAAAGAATAAAATATCTAGGAATAAACCTAATCAAGCATGTAAAAGACCTGTTCTCGGAAAATTATAAGACAATGAAGTAAGAAATAGAAGATACAAGTAAGTGGAAGCACATGCTGTGTTCATGGACAGGAAGAATTAACATCATTAAAAAGTCCATACTACCCAAGCAATCTATAGATTCAATGCAATTACTATTAAGAGTTCAATGACACATTTCACAGAATTAGAACACATATTTCAAAAATTTATATGGAACCACAAAAGGCCCCACATAGCAACAGTGATACTAAGAAAGAATAAAGTTGGAAGAATCATGCTACCTTACATCAAACTATACTATAAAGTCATAGTAATCTAAACAGCATAGTACTGGCATAAAAATACACATAGATTAATGGAACAGAATAGAGAGCTCAGGAATAAACCCAGACCTTTACAGTCAATTAATATTTGACAGAGGAAGCAAACACACACAATGGGCTAAACATAATTTATTCAATAAGTGATGCTGGGAAAACTGGACAGATACATCAGAAAAATGAATCTAGATGACCTTCTCACACCACATACAAGAATAAATTCAATGGATCAAAGGTTTAAATGTTAGAACTAAAATTACAAAAATCCTAGAAGAATAATACATGAGCAGGAAAATGTCGGACACTGCTCATTTTTTTCAAATTTTTTTCATATTTTTTCAAATGTATCTCCCCAGGGAAAGTAAACAATAGAAAGTATAAACAAATAGGACTACATCAAAATTAAGTTTTTATACAGCAAAGGAAATCATCAACAAAATAAAAAGACCACCCACAGAATGGGAGAACCTATTCACCAATACATCTGATAAGGAATTAGCATCCAAAATTTATAAAGTACTCATAAAACTCAATACTAAAAAAACAAACCACCTAATTAAAAAATGGGCAAAGGACCTGAATAGACACTTCTCTAAAGAGGATATACACATGGCCAATAGACATATGAAAAGATGCACAACATCACTAAACATCAGAGAAATGCAAATTAAAACCACAATGAGATATCAACTCACGCATGTCAGCATGGCTATCACCAATATGTCAACAAACAAGTGGTGGCCAGGATGTGGAGAAAGAGGAACCCTTTTCTGCACTGTTGGGAATGCAGATTGGTGCGGCCACTGTGGAAAGAGGTACGGAGATACCTCAAAAAATTAAAAATGGATTTCCTTTTTGACCCACAGATCCCACTTCTGGGAATATATCCGAAGGGACCCAAAACACAAATTTGAAAGGACATAAGCGCCCCTATTTTTACTACAGCATTATTTACAATCACCAAGATATAGAAGCAGCACCAGTGTCCATCAGTAGATGAGCCGATAAAGCAACTATAGTACATTTATACAGTGGAATACTCCTTGGCTGTAAAAAAGAAAAATCTTACCCTTTGTGACAGCATGGATGGACCTCGAGTACATTATACTAAGTGAAATAAGCCAGTCAGAGAAAAACAAATATCATATGATTTCATTCATATGTGAAATCTAAGGAATGAACTGAACTAACAAGCAAAATGAAGACAGGCTTGTATATGGAGAGCAGGATGACATCTAGTGGGTAGAAGGGGGGACATGGTGTGGAGATGGAGGGAAAGGAAAAAGGAAAAAGGACTCATGTACATGAACAACAGAGTGATGATTGCTTGGGGGAGAGAGTTATAAGGGGACTAAAAGGTAATGGAAAAAAATACAGTAAAGAGTAAGTCAATAAATAAATAAATAAATAAATAAAGGGTACTACTCTTGAATTCTCAGAACAAAAATAATAAATAAATAAAATAAAACTCACTGGAACCTGCCTCCAAGGAGCCAATCCTCAAAGATACAACCTCCCCCAGCACCTGGCTAGCTTATTAACTACACTGAAGTTGAACTTCTTCCGCATGATGGAGAAAGAGGGCCCGATCTCATGGGACGGAAATAACTGAGCTGTAACCCCTATTGCTGAAAGGCAGGCCAGGCCTCCTTTCACCAAATGGGATTCAATTTTTTAACTGACATGTAACTTTAATGCATAACCCCTCCCCTGACAAAATAGCATTTTGATTAATATAGAAGACCTAGGCTCTCAATCAGCTATAATTTCTCATATTCATTTAAATATAGCTATATTGACTTTTCTCCAAAAACAATAAATACCTGAACTTCCCTTTGATACTATTTATCAAAGTTTTTGAAAACTGATCAGTTCCATATTGTCCTTGAGACATAGGAAATGCCATCATCTCCAAACAATTCAACACTGGAAAATGAACTCTTAAAAGACAACTCTGAGCAATAACTGTCACCCATTTAAAAATTAAAAAGACTCCTCCTTCTAAAAGTTTCCTCACTCTATACAAATATTCCTTACCTCTCCTTCAAAGTCAGACTTTGAGCTCACAGACACACCCCTACCCAGATGAAACCTGTCCTCTACCAGAAAGACATAACTACGATAAACAAAGTGAATGCTCAGGAAGAGACGGGAGAGACAAGAAAGAGCACCCAGTGAGCTCAGCAGGGCCCCACAGATTCTAGATTGAAAGGGAGGAATCCCAGCTGATGAGATGCGAGCTAGGGAGGGCCAGTGTGGGCTCCGGGTACCAGTGAGGCCATTTAGAACATGAAAAGTTGCTGCTACTGATGGCATTTATGACTAAACTTAAGGACAGAACATACAGAAGCCTGTGAACAGCACACAGAGCAGCTACAGCAGTGGTTTCATTTACTGAAATGTCGAATGAACACCCCAACTGTGAACACACGTGGTTCCTGCCCTTAGGAAAGTGACATAAATTCTATAATGTTCAAGCCTACCATACCAATGCATAAATTCTGTCTTTAAAGTGATTAAATTGTTTCCAACTTTAAAAATTAAACTAATGAGCACTTATGAAAAGGCCCAATTTTTTGCAGATGTGAAGTACAGCATAAGAAACATAGTCAATAATATTCTGATAACTATGTATGAAGTCAGATGGGTACTGGAAATATCAGAGAACACTTTGTAAGGTACATGATTATCTAACCACTGTGCTGTATACCTGAAACTAATACAAAATAATATTGAATGTAAAGTGTAATTGGAAATGTTTTAAAAATTTTTTTAAAGGCCCAATTCTTCAGTCAAAATTTAGGTACAACATAGTATATCAGAGACTTATACTCACTTGTCCAAGGGTACATTCACATTCTCCTAAGAAGTCATCATCACTCAGCTCAACTGTTTTGTTGTCGATGTCATAAATCCCAAATTTCAATCTCTGAACCACTTCAAAGTAGTAATCAATAATAAATGTCTTGGAAAATGTGGGATTCAAGCAATTCTTAATCCTTTCTGTGCGCTCAACCTGTATCCAACCCCAAAACAAAAATGTTTCTTCAAATCAAAGGTGAACTTACATTTTAAAATTTTTATGTACTACATCCAACTAAATATAGGCATGACAGCTAAGGAAGTTCCTATACATGTTTAAAAATTCCAGTCAAGGACAAATCTGTCCAAAAACTGCACTAACAGATAAGATGGTTTTATAATTTTTAACATTTTTAAACTCTTCATGTTGTCAAAAAAACAATTCAGCTCCTTTCCACCTATAGTATTTAATATTACCTCATACCACTGCTGACCGCTTGTGTTCAAAAATAACACACATAACGGGTCCGACTTCGAACCTATGTCCTTATCCAGAAGATTGTCACAGGAAATATTCAGCTCCACCTTTGTCACGCACTGGGCAGCCATCTCTTGAGCTGTGAGAAAAGCAACGAGATGAGAAATGATGCCATTGAAATGGTGCTTTAAGAAGCACAACATTCCCAATAAAACAGTAGAACTCTCAGGACAACTGTCAGGACAGAACCACAGAGGAAATTGGCTAGAATAAGACTAAGTGCCTCCCAGCAAGTCAGAGGTCACTGATATTGCTTCAGTCAAGACTCTCACTGGGATAAGTTCATTTACTGTATGACGTAAAACATATGAACAGTCTTTTCACTTCACTGCATATTTTACCATTCGGAAAAAGTCCAAGTAGCATTTAACTATGAAACAAAACACATTAAACTACAGTCTTAATATTATTTGTTTATTTAACAAAATGCTAAATGAGACATTTTCTGTTTTCAAGGAATTTTGCTAAAACCCAAACCAGGGGAATAAAAGACCCCCAAATACACCCTCCCTTCCCTAACCCTACCCATTTTACAAAAGCATTTCTCAATCTTGGCTGCTCATTGGTGGAAGCATCCAGTTTTCAAAACCACTGATACTGGAGTCTCCACTCAGAGATTAGTGTGACTGATTTAGGGTCCACCTGGCCTCAGCTCCTTCAATGGTTCTCATGCAGACAAGGTCAACAGACCCAGAGTACCATAGAGAACTTCTGGCAAACAGGCACAGCTCACTTGTCCAGACTCTCCACAAATACCAAAGTTAGCACAACTGTCACTGACCTCTCTCCCCAACCTCCAGTCAAGGTATGAAGAAGGCTGGGGATAGGTAGAGCCCTGGGGGTCTGGCCTTGAGAGGTGACAATTGCTGAGGGTGAGCTGCTTTCCTCCTTGACACCAGGGAAAGAAAGGGACTGCAGGTGTCACCAAGAAGAGGAGACAAACAACGCATTCCCTTGCCTGGCAGGTCACTCATGGTATCTAGCATGAATGAAGTAGGAGTCTGCAGTGGGAGGGCAGGTCCTGGAGGGAGGAAGGTACTTCCTCCCTAGAGGTGCTGGCGGCCCTTAGAATATGAAATATCCGATGACCTTTGCCTTCCACTTGGAAATCTGCTGGAAATTCTGGGACAAGGAACAAATCCACTCATCATCCTGTTACTTAAACAGGATTTCTGGTCTGTTTAATACCTACTCAGGTCTGAAATAATCAGGATTATGATTAGAAGAGTCCTTTGTCAAGTGTCAAAAACTCATGTCTACAGAAACTCGTTAGTTATTCCAATGGACTCTCTCAAAATAGTACAATCTTCAATGTGGGCCAGAAATCTATACTAACATTTAAGATTATTAAATTAGCCCTGGCTGAGTGGCTTAGTTCGTTGAAGTGTTGTCCTGTGCAGCAAAAGACTGAAGGTTCAATTTCCAGTCAGGGCACATATCTAAGTTGCGGGTTCAAGCCCTGGTCAGGACATATATGGGAGGCAACTAATCGATATGTCTCTCTCACACTGATATTTCTCTCTAAACTCAATAAACATATCCTTGAGTGAGGATTTTAAAAAATGCTTAAATTAAAGGAAACAGAATAAGGAAACAGGTTCTGTAGTTGCAATAGCTAGCTCCATGTGTGGACTTCACCTTTAAGGGGATTATTCCTAACATGGAACAAAGTTCACAATTCCCTATTTATCTCCTAAATCGCCTCCCCAGGATGTTGTAGTAAAACTGAAACTGCCATGGTCTTTTACTGTGAAGTCAGACATTTTTTGCCACTTAACATGCATCGCAGTTGTGAAGTGTACACCACGTTGTCCTGACAAGGTGCCCCAGACACTAATGTCAGGAGAAACCCCTGATGCAGGGTAGACACTGCAGGGAGACTGGAAGTGCTGGGCTTGGAGGATTCTGTGAGCCAGTGAAGCGGGGGTACCACAAAGTGACATGAGAGCCAGGTGCAAGAGGGCACAGTGAAGATGGCTCACAGTGTCAGAGAGGTGAGCATCCAGGTGGGGGAGTCATGCTGGGCAGGATGTGAATCTAGTGTCCTGAGAACCAGGCTGAAGGACTCGGTGAGTGGGTGATGGGTGTCATCGCAAGTCCTCAGACTGGGGAGAAGAGAATGAAATGCTCATTTCAGACATCACTTATGTCAAATCCACTCTACAGTGCCTCAGAAATTGGGTCACTGCCATGATACCAGTAAGGTCTCTGGATCCAGAAACATACAAATGCTGAATCTAGCACCAAAATTAGCATGTCTTTACATCGCCAAGTCCAGGAGATGAGCTGTTTCCAATAGAGTGAGCGCCTGTGATGACAGTGTGACTGCAATCATCATCCTGTCCTACTCTGATTTGTGAAAGAGGAAAAAGGAAAAAGTGCTACAAGGACTGTCAGAGGCACGAAGCAAGTGGTAGGAAGGAAGAGACACCAGGAAACACTGAAGCAGAGATCTGACAATCCTTCCTCTGAAGTTACACATCCATGACACCTCTGAAAGGTTAGGTGCATGGGCCTTGTCCTTAGACTTGCTGGCTGTGACTCTCCTCCTTTGCACCTCCGACAACTGCCTGTTCCCCCTCCCATCCCAGACACCGTAAGCACCCACAGGCCTGGTCTCTCTTGGGCTTTCTACCTTAACTTCTTTGACCTGACCCTCCTGAGGGAGGCTTCAAGCATCGCTGAGCGAGGCAGTGCATCCCAAACTGACCCCCATTCCGGCCCCTACTGTACATTGACAAAGTACTCTCTTCATTCAAGAGCCTTAACCCGCCATTTCCTATCACTTTCCTCATGTACAAAATGAAAATGATAACCATCCCTACCCCATCTGGTTGTTGAATAGACTAAGTGCGTTAATATATTTAAACAGTGCCCAGAAGCTGCTGCTGTTGCTGCTTAATAGTATTAACAGTAATAGTAGTAGTAATGGTAACATTAGTAGTAATAGTAGTAATAACAGCAATATTAACAATAGTAGTAGTGATAGTGTTTTAGGACTACCTGTCTCCGGTGTCTGAAGCTCTCCTATCCACCCCTAATTGTTCTAGCCTACACCAAGGCCCTCATTTGAACTCTTATAGAATAGGAACAAAATAAGATTTGCAGTGATGATTATGCCGCCTCACAGAAATGACTTCATGGATTTTTTCATCAGTAAAAATGGAGATCCTGCAGGTAAACCTGTACATCTGGATGTGCGCTGCACCTTGCTTTTCATATCTTAATATAGGTTAGTGTGTTTTTTCTTTCACATAAGGTAGTTTAGAGTCTTGTGAATTGTATGTCAGCAGTACCCCAGATCACGCAGTACCTCATGGACAGAAGTTGCACGAGCAAGGTTTCTAAAGCTCTGGGAGCACCACAGATAGAGAATTGTCTATCAGCACCCAGATAGTCCTTGATTTCCATGAATGGGGACAAAATGCACAGAAATGAAGACAGCATACTGTGTGGAGTCAGTCTCATAGCAGAGACATGCAATCAGAAGAGTATAATTCCCCATGTTCTACAAGAGCTACAGTAACAGCCTGCCAGGTGTGCATGATCATTTAGTAAACTGTTGATGTCTACATTACTGTATTGCTTCCAGGATGCAAATCTTCTCTGATAGCAGCATCCCCTGATGACAGCTCTGCGTGCCGACTCATTTTAAACTACAGACCTATTACGGCTTGAATGTGTTAACAGCAACATCCATGAAGATGTTCTTTGCACTTTCTTCTATGTGATGACCTGGCATATGACAGATGGTTTTAAAATAGAACAGGATATTCTTTTACAATGGAAGATAATTAAACAACTGTTTTGTACTCTTTGGTACATGGAAAGTAGGAAACTTGGCTGAGACAAGTGAGCAGGCAAAAGAAGGCATGCTGACGGAAAGTGCCTCTATGTGTTCTTCCCCAAAGACCAGTCAGTAACAAGACAGAGAACCATGGGACTAGATAGCAGCTTCTCCACTGCACAGGTGACTTACTGAATAGTCTGGTTTAGTTGCTCAGTTTCTGAAAAGCAAGTAACCCCTAGAAATCCTTAACAGGTCAACTTTCCAGTCACCCCAACTTCTCTGAACCAGTATTATATGAGAGAAATGATTCAAAGACATTGAAAATTAAGAGCTAATATGTGAAAGAAAATCTAGCATGTAAAAGTTTAGGCCCATGGTCAATCCTAGGCCCTAGCTGCAAACCCTGCAGCGTGTCTGCTTCCTCCTCCCCATCTCACATAGGCCAGGTGCTGTGATCTGCTCAGTAAAGCTGTCAGAAAGATTCTGGCACACTGTCCAAATCTTTCACTCGGGGAGATGCACAGCCTTCCCATACCTACAACCCAGCTCCACTTCTGGTCTCCCTCATGGTTCTGGAAGGTACTCCCACTGCAGTACTCCCTCCATTCACATCATTATTTTATCACTTCTGATGAAAACAACATCACTGGCTTCCCACGGCCACTAGTCTAATGCTCTCCCAAGAACTCCTCGCTGTGCCCACGTTGACCCCAGCCAACCTAGGCAAGCAGCTCCTTCTGGCCATCCAAGGTCTTCATCAAGATTCACTGTGAATGACAGCTCCCATGTGAGCAGCTGAGATGCCCATACAGCACAGGCTCCGTCTTCCTCTCCACAGCTGTGAGCTAACCACAGGGACTAGGCTGCTCAGCCCCTTTACCAGGAAGGACAATGTCTGGCTTGTTCTTGTGGCAGAAAGAAGTTACCTTTGGAGTCAATATTCTTTGTTCACATTTCTTTCCCACTATGTATTTGAGTGTGTTTGCTTTGCCAGGTTATCTGTCTGAATTTCAATTTCTACAAAATTGAGATTAAGAAAATTACTCGACTATGGTTGGTTTCTGACATGCTGAGCATATATCAGACACAACTCTGTGAACTGCAGCAATTATTATTTTATTAACCACTCAAATATTTAATTGCTCGCCTTGGAGTTGATGGCTTATTATTAAATAGTAAGATGTAAAACACCTTTCTCATGTTTGTTTATGAACAGTTTCTTAGAATAATAGTAAAAGAATCTACGGGATTTAAACAAAATTAATTGGCCCAAATAGTCAGCCTTGATGATAGCTTGGTGCTAATTTTCCTAAATCCTATTAGAAGAGTTTGTTTCTTTGAGTGACTATGTAGTTGGTACATAGGGGAGGGGATGCAGGGCCAGCCATAATGTCTCATTATTTGTCCCAAAACAATTAGAGGGAAGTCAGTGCCCACCCACCAATAACATGAACTGGACAGCTAATATTTACCTCACAACAGTTCTTCAAGACAGCCCATCAGTGGGTTACTTAGGGCACAGAAGCATTTCCTCCTTGGCAGGCTCTCACGTGCCATCCACATGGGGCCCCAACATCTCAGGGCTTCTAGAAGGCACTCCTGGGCCATCTGAGGGCAGTAACATGAGTGCACAGGAATGCCTTGCACTTAATATCCAGGCTCTGAGAGTAGAAAACTTACGGTAAAGGAATTTACACTGAGCTGGTCCTGGTCCAGTATGTAGTAAGAAAGTGATGCCCGCATTTTTTAGTCCCTGCCACTGACACTAGAAATGGGAATAGGGAATAAGGTCAAGCATTAAAGCTCACAAACAGAGAAAAAAAGCATATTTTCTTTTCAGTGTGAAAAAGGGAACTGGAGAAGGGTTACTGGATTAGAGTTAAAAAAAGTGGCCTATAGTTCTGAGTCAGGCACACTGTCTGTGGGCAGGTGTCTAACTTCTCTAGGCCTCAAGTGTTTCACTTACTTAACGCAAGGTTTCAATCACTTTAGGTTAACTTTCAAGGCCTCTTCCAGTTAATGTGCTATGACTCTTATTTAATTACAATGAATACAAAACATGTTTAGGAAGTGGTACTGAAGAAGTAGAAATATTTTTTTAAGTAGAAAAATACCAAAAAATTTGTAAGAACCAAAAAGAGAAATAGGAAGAAAGGGATAAGGTTTTATAAATTTAGCTTCCATCTTCCACTATGAAAAAAGCTGTATCTGAAAAAAAAAATCTATATATAGATACTTTCCCACTAATTAGGTACCTCTGCTTGAAATTGTTATTCAATTCCCTATCCTGTGATGACTTGGAAAAATAAGGCTCACTGACAAATGAAACACAGGCCTGGTGTATTGGGTCCATGCAGGACAAGGGGGCAAGTTTTCCTACCATGCACAGAGTCACTCCTCACTAAATCCTCAGTGCAACAAAAGGAATCAGCTTCTGGGTACCATAAAAAAATTAATTTCCAGAGACTTGAGTTACCCTGAATAAAATCTAAATAGTAATGCTATTGCAGATAGCCAAACATTCAGAACAGGGAAAGCAGGAGTTACTGAAAAAGGGCTGACGCTTGATCACTTTTGAGTTCAAAACTAAGAAGGATGTGCAGTTTCACCCTGTCCTTATTGCTTGCTACAAAGTGAGGGATTAACTAAGTTCCCTTCCCTGATTTCTCTAGAAAACCCTTAAGATAGATGGATCTGTTCTGATTCATAACAGGCCAGGGTTTACTTAACACCTGTTTCTGGTTATACTACTTTTCTAATCCCTTGGCTACAGTATATACATTTTAGAAATCTCATGATTATATTTTCCAGCCTATGGAATAAAGAGTTCACCGTAGGGACACTCAGTGAAATGTTATTAAAAATCAGATGTAATGACAGCATCTCAGTATTGCCTCACTTTATTATCATTACCATCTACCAAGTGAATCATCTTTTATCAAAAACTGCCTTGATAAAAATCAGAGCTGTGTCTTCTAGTAGAAAATTCCAGATCTTCAGCTGAAAATTTTTAAACGCCTCTGTAAAGCTGCTGGTCAGCTGTGCTGCAGGCAGGCTGGATGTCATGTTAAGGCCCATCCACCTCAGAAACTGAAGTCCCTTGGGCTCCTCATTCCCATCCCAGCATTTTAAGAACTTCCCATCTTCTGGAATCCTGCAGATGTTGGACCAGAAGTCAGAACCTCTCACCTACCCATTATCCAGTTTTGCCCAATTCTAACGCCTGGCTCCCTCCTCTTCTCAGCAGGCACATCTATATAATTGGGCAAGACTGGCATTTGGTATGTCATTATATTCTTCTCTCTAGTCATGATGAACAACAATATGAAAATTCTCTCTGTTCAAAGCTGCAGCAACTACAATGATTTTGTTCTCAAGGTTGGAAAGTGTCTATGTTGAGCAAGGACTGTGAGGTGTTTATACATTTCCTGATTTCAAGAATATTCCTTGTATGGTTGTTTGGCAATCCATTTCAGCTGTTTGTAACTTTCTGATAAACACTTTCATATTTCCTGATCAGGAACAGTTGAATAGTACTTAAAACTATTCATTCACTATCATTCTCACAGATGGCCTACTATGTCAGGCATTCTACTATGGTTCTGGGGGACAAGGAACCAAAGAGATAAACATCCCTGCCCTCATGCAGTTACAGTGTAGGGAGATGGAAGTAAAATTATAGTGTATGTAGTTGGTAGGAGATACTAAAGAAAAAAATAAAGCAGGGAAGGTGAGCAAGGAGTCCTGAAGGCAGCACGGGCAATTTTAGATATTTTATAAACTTATTTTGACAACACAATTAAGAAATACTTGTTTTGCTTTTCACTTTCTAACCCCTAAAGAAAAAAAAATGTGGACTGACAAGTTCCTCTTTATAGTTGCAGGGATCTATTTTAAAATGCACTATCTATCACCTGAGTCTGGAACAGCCTTAACCTCAGAAAACTGAAGAGGCCTAATGACAATGGATACCACAACCACTGTTGCCTTGGTAATTTTCACAGGAACCAGACATAATATATCTGCTTGGTAAGAGGACATTTCGAAATGATTTGCTCAAATGAATATACAGTGATTCCTTTTATTTTTCACGGGGAAACCGTTTTAATATGCTATCCAGCTAACCTATATTGGGAATTTTGATCATTACATTGACTAATTTTAATGTCTTTTTAAAAATTATGATTGTGCTCTGCCTAATGGGGCTCAGTGAATTGAGTGCTGGCCTGTGAACCAAAGGGGCACTGGTTCAATTCCCAGTCAGGGCATGTGCCTGGGTTGCGGGCCAGGTCCCTGGTTGGGGGCATGTGAGAGGTAACCATACATTGATGTTTCTCTCCCTCTCTTGGGGGCATGTGAGAGTCAACCACACATTGATGTTTCTCTCCCTCTCTTTCTCCCTCCCTTCCCCTATCTCTAAAAATAAATAAATCTTAAAATTATGATTGCATATCGGTAAGCTACTCAAATTTATTTATTTATTTATGATTTTTTTAGCCCTCACCCGAAGGCATGTTCATTGATTCTAGAGCAAGGGGAAAGGAGAAAAAGAGAGAGAGAGAGAAAAACGTCAATATAAGAGAAACATTGATCAGCTGCCCCAACTGGGGGTTGAACCCACCACCTAGGTATGTACCCTGACCACGGACTGAACATGCGACACAGGTAAGTGCCCTGACCAGGGACTGAACCTGAAACCTAGGTATGTGCCCTTACTGAGGATCAAACCCATACTCTTCTGCCATTGGAATGACACTCCAAACAACTGAGCCCACCCAGTCAGGGCTTCAAATACAATTAAGCCAGTGTAATCATTATTAGAATGTTATCAAAATGTATACATAATGTCTGTTTTTGATTATCATGTAAGAAACTTAAGTAATATAGTTAAATAGAATCTATGATGCTTTACTTTAAGGTGCTAATTTAAACCTCCTTCTCAGCCAATGTTTCAACAAATCTTCCAGCAAGTATCTTACGGATTTGTTTGGACTTGAACCTGATTAGCGATCCTTCTAAGACAGGTAAAAAGGCAAAGGGAAAACGGTGGGCAGGAAGCTAGCCTGTAGGGTGAAGGTAACAGTGAGCGTGTTAAAGGAATGCCCACATTTACTTGTACTCCTGAAACTTGAGATTGGCACTGATTCTCACTCAGAGATCCACCTAAAAGTTCATGCTTTCCATGAGCAGTGGTGGCTCATTATAAATTTTTGAAGGTCAATATATTATTTAATCATATTTTACATCCAATTCTAACCTTCCTATTTTTGCTGACCTTCTAGCATAATAAATTATTGACTGAAAAAAGTTTTAAAAAAGGAAATTTTAACAGTAATAGAAAAAGCACAGGTGTGTCTAAAGCTACAGAACCAAGAACTGATAGGCTCTGGGGTCAGCAGGAATTGGGTATTGGGACAGATGGTGAGGAGGAAATGTTCAGGACAGGAGTGACAGCCTTGTAGAGAGCATATGTGCAATCCTTAGGCTGCTTAACTCTACGAGGGGATGAATTGCATTGTCTACAAAGTGTTCACAGTTACAGGTAAAATTAGGAGACGTGTCTAGTCATTAAGCAGCCCACAGGCCTCTTTTGTTCTCATCCTGATACTTCTTGTCCCTCTCCATTCTTTAGGCGCTAGATCTGAGAAGAAACTCTGAAAGAGCAGGCCTGCTCTCATCCAGAGAGCTTCAGTGTGTCCAGTGCCAAAGGCTGGTCCCTGAATTTTCTCAAACCAAAATGATACATATTTTTCCAATTCATCAGCCAAAAGGAACTGCCTTTTAAAAAATTCTCACAAAGGCAAAAAGAAAGTGACCCTGGGTACCACAGATGACTGTACTACCAGTAACTGTTCTTTATTTTCTTATTCTCGCCTAAGCTCTGAGCCTGCACAAGTTTTGCTTGAGCTAGCTGCTGGTGCTCAGGGCTGGAAAGTGTTGACCTCAGTCAGTGACCCATAGAATATATGTTACTATGTATAGTTTACACTAACTAGAAGGCAGACACTTTGCTGTGTTACAAATATCATATTTAGTCTTGGTAACAACACTAGCATAAGGGGTATTTGATCTTCACTTTACAAATGTAGAAACAGGCCCTAAGAGGTTAACCTGCCCAAGGTCACAGAGCTAACAAATGTCAAAGCACAGATCTGACACCTCGGTACCCAGTTTATCCCAAGGAGTAATGCTCTTACCTTTAAGCCCCAAAGCCTGTGGCGTGAAAACGTACAGACGTGAATTCCAACCCTAATGGTAAACTGCTGATTTTTGAGCTTCCTCCAGGATGAAACGGAGTAACAACTGCACGTAAGCGGTGAATGCAGGTATCGGATGGGCTAACACGTACACCGTTTGCTCACGGTGTTGAGGTTGCCGAAATCGCCACCGCAGGTGCCATCCCGCACGCCGTCCGTCTGACGGTCAGTGCAGAGGCCACCGCACGCAAAACACGGCCTACACAGTGAATCGAGATCCAGCGAGGGGTAGCCAAACAGGCAAGTGGCCGGTCTTGCGCTTCCGCCCCGCCCTGCGCAGGCCCCACCTCACTGCGCCGGGACCAGGCGCACCACCCTAGTCGTCCCTCCCGCCGCGCTGCCCGGGCACTCCTAGCACGGGACCCGACTGCCCTACCCCGGGCCGCCACACAGCAGCGCGCACAGGCCGCGCTCACCTACAGTCTCAGCGGCGAACACCAGGCAGCAAGTCCAAATTCGGGCCAGCAGCTGTGTCCCAGGAACCAGACAGAATTGGCCGGCAGGGTGGAACAGGGAAAGAGGGCGGGGGAGATGCGCGGTGACTACTGGGCAGAGGGTGGAGCGAAGAGATGGGCGGGGGTGGGGTCTAACTAATTGAGACGCGGATGGGGCGGGGCCGAGCGGGAAGCTGCGGGTGGAGGCGGGGTGGGCGGGGCGGGCGGGGCCGAGGCTCAGGCCCGCCCACCGGGAGCACAACCGGCCAAGCCCTCGCCCAAGCCAATGTCTCCTGCTGCAGGGCTGATAATTCAAGGCCTTTAGATTTTTGCTCACCCAGAACCGTAGGTTCACTTTGGGCGTTGAAATAAGTTATTTGGTGCACCAAAATTAATTCCTAAAAGACAAAAAAAGTTAACGTGAGAAAATTAGCCCTGGGGGGATGGCTCATTTGATTGGAGCTTCATCCCATGCACTAGAAGGTTGCCCTTTGACTCCCTGTCAGAGGACATAGCCTAGATTGCAGGTTCAATCCATACTTGTTGTACATATGGGAGGCAACTGATGGATGTTTCTCTCTCACATTGATGTGTGTGTCTCTCTGTCTCTACCACTCCGTCCCCTCCCTTCCTTTCTTTCTAAAATAAAAATATCCTTGCGTGAGGATTAAAATATATCTATGAAAATTATACTACTACCTGAATCAGGAAGAATCAGCATGACCATTCTTAATCAGAGCACTTTCAGTGTTCACAGCCTGAGCTATTTTACATCCTTAATTTCATTTAATTCCCACAACTTTGTGACATACTCAGTGCCATTATCCCCATTTCACAAAAGAAAAAAATGTGATTGAGAAACTTGAGTTTGGTCACTAAGTAGTGGGCCTACTTGCCTAAAGTCATATTTCTAAGTAAACTAAACCCAAAGGCCTCACTTGACGAAACAAACTGTGGAAAATACTGCTTCTCTTAAGTACTTGAGATACAGAACTTGTGTCCAAGGAAAACATGGACAAAATCAACAGGCAAACATGTTGGAAAAAATATTTGCCATACATCCCTGACAGTCAAAGAAAGAGCTAGCATCTTAAGTATAAATTGATTTATAAATTTTTTGAAATTTATTTTTAGAGAGGGGGGAAGGGAGGGAGACAAACATCAGTGTGAGAGAGAAACATCCTTAGGTTGCCTCTCATGCGTGCAGGGCAGTGGAACCACAACCTAAGCATGTGCCCTGACCAGGAAATGAATTGGTGACCTTTCGCTTTGCGGGATGGTGCCCAACCAAGCCACATGGATCGGGGTAGAACAAATTGATTTTAAAAATAGAAAAATGGGCAGAGGATAATTATTTAAATTACAGATGAAGTGGAAAATGAAACATATGAAGAGGTATAGAATTTCCTAATAAAAACTTTAATTTAATTCAAAAACTGAGACCTAAATACATTTTATGGAGGGTAAGACCAATGAAATGGCATTGGTCCAGTCAAGATAGGATAAAGTATATAAAACAAGATGGAGCCACTCATGTCAACTAAGGTGGCTGTCAGCCATGACAGGTTGGTTCAAGAGGGAAACTAAGTCACTATAGACAAATTTCTCAAGGAGACACACATAAGATATCTGTACATGTGACCAGAACAGCCATGTCTGCAGAGCAGGACCACCCATAGATAGGCTCCGGGGGAAATTCCCCACTTGCCATCAAGGGTGGCAAGACACTCATCAAGAGACCCAGAAGGGTGGAATACACCACTTTCAAGATATAACTGAAGCAAGCCTCAGACCACTGCCGAGACAGCTGAGTTCTACACACCAACATGCTGCTCCACACCCTTCTAATCTCCCTTGGTGTCAGCTGCCAGAGGCTCTGTCCTACTGGGTTGAGGACTTTGTCTCTTCTGCTGCCCACCTGGCTCTGGAAATCCTTCCTTGTAAGAAGCTGACAGCTTCCTTGCCCACTGTCCTATCTCCTTGAACTGCAGACTGAAATTCTGGGACTCAGGTTTGTTTTCCCCCATTGATTGCTCTGTGTGTGTGTGAGATATTTCTCTTTGATTGTTAGAGAGTGAGTAGGACATTAATATATGTTAATGTTCTACTTTGAGCAAACCTACATTCAATTAAAGCTGAGCGAAAAGCATAGTTAACTTGTGTGACTCTTGTCTATTCCTTGGTGCTGGGCAGCTAAGCTGAGTAATTGCCTAGCTGACGTATAGGAAAAACTATGTTGGCAACATATGCTTGTGACATGTTTAAATGATCATATTAGTACAAATGAGGATCCAGCATGTCCTGGATGCCTACTATGTGCCAGGCATCATTCTAGATTTGAGATAAACTACTGACAGAAGATTTTATCCTAGAGTGAGGGCAAATAATAAGTGAATGACATTATTTCAGGTAGCCATAACTACCATGGGAAAAGTGAAAAGGGTGATTTGGGGCATAATGGAAGCTTACTTAGACTGGGAATGGGGGAAGGTCTATGGATGCCATATTTGATTTGAGACCTGAAAAATAAAATAGAGGTGGTCATGCAAAGATCTGAGGGCAGTGGGATGAAAGCAGGGGCAAAGGCACCAGTAGACCTGGCAAGCTGCAAAAGCAGAAACAAGGCCTTTCTGATTGCAGCATAATGGGGAGGGAGAAAAAGTGTATAGTTTTGTTTTGTTTTTACCAAAGATTGGTGAAACAACCTTTTGTTTCATTCTTGATTATGCTTTGACATTTAAGTGAAGGTCACCAGACACACCACTGATTTAAGTGTCATTTTTAAAATTTCTAGAATACATAGTTTTCCTTCCTAATCTTTATGACTCTTGTCTCCACTAAAATAGGAGGAGGTATAGAAAAGGAAATGGTTGTGTACTTATAGTGCTCAATAAGCAATCTCATTTCAATGCATAGTTCAGTGTACTCACCCCTTCTGCTCAAACTATTGTCTAAATTCTATTCTACTTATGTTCTTGTTCACTCATCTGTTTATTCAACACTTATTGAATTCATATTATGAATCAGGCATAATGACATTCAAGAAACAAAAACCAATTATGTATCGGACTCAACACCTAGTACAGGTTTTCATGGATGTTAAAATGAATGAGATGTTCATGAAATCAATGGATTACACCAAATTCTGTAGCTTAAAACGAACAGTCACACATTGTCTCCCATGGTTTCTGTGTTCAGGAATTTAGGAGGGGCTTAGCAGGCAGTTCTGTCTCATCTCCTTCATGATGTTGCAGTCACATATGGGACAGGGTTGCAGTAATCACACAGGGCTGGAGCACCTATCTCCAAGGTGGTATGCTCACAAGTAGCAACGGAGCTGTGTGTTGGTGGGAGACATCAGATTCACTCCTAGTGAGCCTCTCAATATGGCTGCTTGAATGTCCTAAGGGCATGGATGCTGGATTCCTTCAGAGTAAAACTCCAAGAGACCTAAGCAGAAACTCAATGACTTGTATGATGTAGCCTTGAACGTCACATGCCATCACCTTTGCAGTGTTTTATGGGTTAAACAGACCATCCGTGATTAAATGTGGGAGGGATTCCACAAAGGAGTAAATTCAAGAGGAAAGGATCATTGCCCCGCCTTCTCTGAGGCTGGCAACCACAGAAGTCTAATAACTGTTTTGAATCTAAATATACAAATAAAACCTAATCTTTCTCCCCAAATTTATTTTTCCCATAGTCTTCTCTATCTCAAATAATGGTAGTGAATTCTTCTAGTTGTTTGAGTCAAAATGCTTGGAGTCATCTTTGATTCTTTCCTCTCATATCCTATCCCTTCCTTGTCTGGTCCCTGGCTAATCTGTCAACTCTACCTTTAAGTATATCCAGATTCTGACTACTCATAGCTTCCAGCCTAGTCAAAGCCACCACTATTTCTTTCTAGATTATTTTAATACTCTAGTAACTGCTTTGCTACCTGCTCCCCTTCAGTCTACTTTCAAAACAGAAAACTCTAATATTTAAATTAGATTATGTCCAAGTAATTACACAAAGAAAAATCCAAGTTCTTGCAATTGCCTACAAGTTCCTCCAGTACTTGGTCCTTACCTCCTCTCTTTCTCTCTTGTACTCTTCCCTTTGCTCACTGAATCCATATGTAGTGGACTTACTGTTCATGGAAATGCCACTTGCTTTCCCAGTTCAGGCCTTTGCACTTTCCTTCTACATGAGATGCTGTGCCCTTAGTTATCTTCATGGCTCACTCCCTCTTCTTTCGGTCTTTATTCAAATATTTCCCTCAGTGAGGACTTCTGTGGCCACCACCCTATTCAAATCTGTAACACCAACACAGAAATGCACTCTTTACCCCTTCCTGCTTTATCTTCCACATCAGCATTTATCATCATCTATTATATCTTACTATTTATCTTACTATCTTTTCCCAACTAGAATATAGGAATTGTTCATTCACATCTAGAAAAGTAGCAGGCATATTATGCAATAAACATTTGTTGTATGAATGAAGAAATGGTGCCAGCACTTGTAATAAGACAAAAATCAGACATGTCATTGAGTTTACAGCATACCAAATGCACACATTGCCACTTCTTATCAACAACACAATACCAGTTCTTATCAACTTCAACTCCAAAATATACTTGATTAACAAATAATCACAATATAAAAATAAAATTATAAAACATGCTCAGAGCCATGAAAGATATGAAAGTATATTTGGGGAATCAAGAAGAGCTTCTCTGAGGAACTGACATTTGGACTGAAAGCTGAGAGATGAACAGAAATCATCTAGGTAAGGAATAAAGGAGCTTGGTAGGGGGATGAGAAGGAATCTTGACAGAACACGAACTGGGGAGGTCTGAGGCTCCTGGAATGAAAGAAAAGACTGTGCTCAGAACCAAGAGAAAAATATTTCAGACTTCAATAGATTAAAGAAATATGACAATTACATACAATATGTAATCAGGATGTGATCCTGAGTTGGAGGACAAATAATTGCTATAAAGGACAGTTTTGAGACACATATTAAGTAATAGTATTGTCAGTTTACTGAATTTGATCATTGTACGGGGCTTAAACAAGGGAACGTCTTTGTTTCTAGCCATAGCCATGATGTGTGTAATCTACTCTCAAGGTTCAATAACAGAAAGTAGTAGGAATATTATGTGCATACTATGTGTAATATATGTAAAGAAAGAAAACAAATGTGACAAAACATTAACAATGGCTATTTTTTTAAATGAAAAGTTTAATTAAAATTTCACTCTGGATGAAATATCAGAAACTAGATTTCGGGATGATCGTGACATCCAGTGGTATAAGCCCATTATTTAGCAACATTGAAGGAACTACCAACAGAAATATGTAAAAGTGGTTCCCTCTGGAAAACAGACCAGGGTTCAGCAAATGTTGGGAAGAAAATAGTAAAGTACTGATGAAATCCTGAAGAAATGTGGTTGATTTAGAGGGACATGGGGGAGACAGCAATTATAGGAGCGAAGCACTGGACTTGGGGAGAATCTAGTGAAATAAAAGTGTGTGTTCCCTTTATACCAGAGTCGTAGTAAAAACACTATGTAAATGCAACCTAATTTCTGACACCTATGTCTTTCCTCATAAACGGTTTTGCTCTGCCCCATGTAACAGGCACCGTACTAGAATCATTGGTTCCTAAGCTGTCGGGGCCTCCCGAGCATCTGCGGGGGTTAGGGTTTCACACAGAACCCGAGCTCCGGGTTAGCGGCCTGTGGGCCCATCTCTCTTCACTGTTCATCTTTCAAGGCGTCCCCTCCCTCTCCCCGCGGCATCTGTCCAGCCAGGACCCCCTGCACAGTCTCCCTCCCTTTGAGGGCAGCAGAACTGGAAATAACAAGCCCTTGTCTTCTTGCATTCTTTAAGTGTTCGGTCTATTTCCAAGCTTCCAATTCTTTTCTGATGACCTAGCTCTGTATCTAAACCGCAACAGACCCCACAGACGAGGGGAAAAAAAAAAAAACAACCAACAACAACAGGTAAGAGCCAGAAGGGATTTCTCGACGACCTAGTGCCCACAGCGCAGGAGCGGGAGGCGCGCGGAGTCTCACCCTTTGGGGCCACGCCCCTTCACCGGAACTGCGATGCGGCACCTTTGCGCCGGACCGGAACTTGTGCAGAGACCTGTGCCCTGGAAGAAGCGAGGGCAGGGAGTAGGCGGACGTGTACTTCGCCACGCCTTTGCTTGCTGGGCGTTGCAAACGGCGAAGAGTCAGCCCTGCAAGGAAGTCATGGTGCTGGCTTCTCGACTGTGGCGCTTTCTCCCTTCGGGGCGTGTTGCGGTCCCGGGACCTCGGCTTCGGACGGGGGCTGCAGGCGGGCGCGGAAAGTGCGTGCCTCAGCGATTCGGCGGCATAGAGGTAGCGCGACGTCAAGGCTCCGGGGAGGGTGGGTGCTGGCAACCATCGCACACAGGCAAGCGTTTCTCTTCCGCAAGCCTGCTTTCCTCCCTGTAAAGGGTACTTCGCTCCTTGTCCCCAGTTTCTGCTTCCGCTCCCTGTGAAAGCAGAGCGTGAGGGGCCTGAGACTTGGTACTACGCAGGTATTTACAAAGTTACTGCAGTGGCTCGTTTTAGTTGCACACTTGTGGACGCTGTGAGGTGACCGTTGGATTGTCGGGTTTTGGCGTTTCTGTTAAACTGGCCGGGCCTTGGTTTATTTCTGGAGGAGGATTGGGGGCCGATGCACGTGATGTGGAATTTGAATTGGGTGTTTTAGTCATTAAAACTCTAATAGCCCTTTTTTATTACGTGCTTGTTGTGTTCCTTAGTCGGGGTGGGGGCTGTGTGAAAGACGGAAAGGCTCGACTTATTTCCTGCAAAGCTTGCAGCCAGTTGGGCAGGTGTTAGGGGACCTGAGCAGAGGAAGGGAGGAGTGGCACTAAGCCTGAAACTGCTGAGCTTCAGGTTTTCGAGGCAGAGCATTGGTGAAGTTTAAATTCTAGAGGACTATGATATATAAAGTTTATTGAATGTTTGCTGTAACCATACATTGTATTAAGCATTGCCTCATTTAATCTTCATCCCCACCTTGTGTGATAAGAAATATGATTTTAACCATTTTTAAAAAGAGGAAACTGAAGTAGGGTTAAATAATGTGTCCAACTTTCTCACAGCTGGGAAGCAGGTTACCATCTTCCAAGCATGAGCTGCCTGTAGTTGCTGTGTTAAAAACATGGAAACTAGAGAAGCAGCATAGAAAGGGTAGAGAAAAAAAGATCAGAATACGAAAGTTCAGCACCTCCTTGTCGCAGGTAGGGCAGAGCTCTGAGACATTAGGGGCTTGGCTCCAGGTCAGTGTGGTTAAGTGAGTCATGATCTTTTTTGCTGTTGGAAGGTCTCTCCTTCAACTTGTTAAATTTGAAACACCGATGAAGCACAATGACGTGTGGTCTCCCTGTGTAACAAAACCAGTTTCTCACCGGTTCCTCCGTAGAAACAAGAGTTAACTTCCTGCTGCATCTCATCAACCTTATAATGAGGCAGAGTTATTCCAGAACCTTTTGTAATAAAATACTAATCCAAAAGCAGTAACAAAAATTCTTCTCTCCAGGTGAATTGAATTTTTAGGGAGTTGTAACTATGTATTGTTACCAATTTACCAGTTGCTTAAGTATTTTCAAGACTGTCATTTTGGGGTTTTTTTTTTTTCCAGGGTTTTTTTTTCCTAAGCATAAGGTCAACGAGTTGAGTTGCAGGTATTTATTTTCCAGGATTTTGTGGAGCGTGGAGGTTACTTCTGAGGGGCTGAGAAGACATTGCATTTTTATTTGCAATCTATATTATATAACACCCATCTTGGAATGTTTATTCTTCAACAAATTTGTACTGTTTTCTCTGAGCACCGCTCTGTTCTGTGCTGAGGATACAATGAACAGGAGAAACCTTTTCTCATTTACATTACAGACTGGAAGGAAAGGTGGCAATTTAGTAAATGTAATTAATGGTGGGTGTTAGGGAAAGGGCAGCAAAGTTACACTAAACCTGATCATGAAGGAAGGAAAAGAAAAGGTGTAAGCAGTTAGAGATGAGAGCTACAGAGTGTTTTGGACAACAGTGTTTCAGTAGAGAGAGTATGAGATACGCCTTGAGGTAAGAAAAAGGGGTCTTTTTAAGGAACTAAAAGTGACTGAAGTCTGGAATAGAAGAATAAACTGAAATAAATCAATGCTGCAAAGTCAGCATGTGCCAGTTTTTTAATTAGCTGTTACTACACAACAAATCATCACAGAATTTACTGGCTTAAATTAAAACAGCAAGTTGTTTCTGCTGGGTAGGAGTCCAGGTGGGTGCTTCTAGACTGAAGGTTTCTCATGAGTTTAAATCAGGCTGTTCAGCTGCTGAGGTCTCAGTTGTAGTCTCACCCTATGCTGTCTCTGCACTGCACCCTGATGATGGGGCAGTTGGTTAAGGATTGTTCCTCTTACAGTCCTCCGGACCTAGGAATGTAGGTCTTGTTGGCCACCAGAGCCAGATCAAGGGATGTTCCCTAGGCAGTAGCTGTAAAAACCATGGCAGTGGTATGTTGGGAAATGCCCTGCCTGGTTTCAGGAACTGTAGCCCCACCAACAGGCGCGAGGGCCCCAAGGCTGGAACTAATCAAGGAGGCCTTGGGAAAACAGGCCACTGAGGAGACAAAACCTGTCCCCCTGGCAGGGGCACAGCCCCTGCCTCCCTCACATCACCCTACTTGGCAGCAATGGCTGGCTAGTTAGTCAATGATGGGTAAGACCCCTCGATGGAAGGGGCAACCTAAGACAGGCACAGCCGCGTGGGCATCAGGGAAAAACTTGGGGGACACGGAGAAAGGGCAAAAAGACCCGTACCCCTCGACTCGGCTTTGATATGGCCGGGGTCCTCATTCTATCTGAAAGAAGTTTCCTTGTCTCTTGGTGGCTCCCTCCCCCCGCCCGCCTCAGGCACAAAACAATACTGGAGGTAGTCCTAAACTGGATCTGGTGCTTCCCAGAGGAAATCAGGCCTATGAGTAAATTCTTTAAAGCATCTTTGTTTCTCTCTCAAAAGCTACCATAGCGAGCTCTTGCTGGGAAGGAAATTTACATTATTCACAGACCCTGACCCTAAACCCTTTGGTGCTCTTATGTTTACGCGCTCATGTTTACTCATCTCCGGATTTACTGTGAATCCAGTGTGTTCCTGCTATTTGTTTTCTTCAAAACATCACCTGTTCTCTGTAAACATTAACATACATAATGAGATCACCTGGACATTCCTATTACCTAGCCCCATTGATGACCCTTTCAATAAAAGCCTTTGGGCAAAGGGGCTCAGAGGCTCCTTCCACTGGAGGGAAGTCACCATGCCCCCTCTCCTGGCAGGCAGAGAAGTGTTTGCGATGACTTGTGTTTATTCCCCCCATTCATGACAACCCCGGGACATGCTCTGCGGGAACCAGAGTCCACAGTCCCACCTTAGCTGGCCACCTGGAACACAGATCCTCGGATGGAGGAGCTCCACACTCCACCACCACAGTGACATGGAACCTAGCAGAGGGAGAGCTTGATGATAGTGTCCACACTTCGTGGTGCCTGGAGAGGGTCATTTTTGGTCCCCAGTTGTGTGCTAAATTAGATGCCTGTCCTTTAGGCTGAAGTTTTAAGCTAAGCAAGTAAACCTCTTTCACAGAGAATTTAGGCCCTTTTCAGTCAGCTTCCCCCGAGGTGGGCTGTGGGGTAGGTAAGTCTGGGGAAGTCTTTCAAACATGGTTCCTCACTTTGCAGTTGCCTCATTGGCTTTCTAAGCAAGATGTTTTGGGGGCTTGTCTCTCAGGTGTGAGTCTTAAAAGTTGGAGTGTCAGGTGTGGGGTGTAAAACCTTTGCCCTTCAGCGAGAAGAGTTCTCTGATTATGGGTTGCTGTGTCAGGAGTGGGGTTTATGGCAAGACTGTCTCTGCCTCTCCCACCTGTTTCAATGTGGGCTTTTTTCCTCGCTTGATGTGGAGTCACTCAGCTAGATTTTGGGTTTCTTTCAGAGGAAATTGTTGTTTGTAGCTATAGATTTGCTGTGTCTATGGGAGAAGTTGTGTTGGGATCCTCTTCTATCATCCTTTTGAAAGGGAACCTGTTGGGGCCACTGTGGAGGCGACCAACCACAGCCAGATTCTGAAACCCTTGTAAACCTGATTTTATTCTAAGGATTGTAGAAACCATGAAAGTTTTAAACAGATTTTTTAAAAACCAGATTTGCATTAAAAACTTTTGTGTAGTGTCAAGAATGGACAGACTAGTGGATGCTGGAGACCAGGTAAGAGATCACCGATATAGGAGAGGTGAGCACTGTGGTGATTTGAACTGTGAAGGGGGCGATGAGACTGGAAATTAGTGGATGCAATCGGAGGCTGTATAGAGATACACATAGCATACTCAAAGGATAGATTTGGTGTGAGGGTTAGAGAGAAAGGGTTAAGGAAGAGTCTCAGGTTCTGGCTTGAGCACAGGGTGTGGGTGGTGGTGCTCTTTGCTGGGATAGGACTACAGAAAGCAATCTGGGGGCTCAGGGAGGAGATGAGTTATGTTTCAGGCTGTTTAAGGCAAATGTGAGATGAGGTGGCCAAGGTGACATGTGGAATAGACAGTAGTTGGACCGGTCAGGCATTTACCTTCTGAGGTCTGGTCTGGAGATGCAGATTCAGGAGAGTTTAGCATGTAGTTGTAAGTAATATTGTGGTAATAGTAAGACCAGAAGGAGGCCTGGCACCAACCATGGAGGAATTCCAACATTTAAGAGGAGGAGCTGGTGGGAAGTTAGGAAACCAAGCGTGCATTTAAAAAAAAGAAAAAAAAAAAATCAAAATTGGTGAATTTTTGTGCAGCCATTTTAATACTGAAGATGGGAAAAAGTTACACAACATTTCGGTGTATTATGCTTTATTGTTTCAAGAAAGGTAAAAACACAACTGAAATGGAGAAAAAAAAAGATTTGTTCAAGTGAATGGAGAAGGTGCTATGACTAAGTGGTTTGCAAATTTTCTTGGTACTATTCACGTTTGGCCAAAAAATTCTTTGTTGTGGGGCTGTTTTATTCATTGGAAGATGTTTAGAAGCACCCTTGGCCTCCACCGACTAGAAGGCAACAGTGGGAAATTTTTACTCAAAATTTCCACATCAGTGAAGTTATTGGTGAAAATGAAAAATGTGTCTTTTGTTTTACAGAAAAACTCAGCGGACTTTTTGGCCAACCTGACATGTTGGCGTCTTATGTTTATTTCAATCAATTATAACATCTATGCCTCCTTAATCCAGCATTTACCAGCATGACAGGTTTTTGGATGAGCTACCACCCTTAGGTATTGTTACAGATCTTTCCTTAACAGGATATACTCTCCCTATAAAGTAATAATGTGAAGTAGTTTTATTGAAGAATTTGATGAGGTAAATTTTAAGCTTCCAGTATTCTTAGGATCGATTGTTTTGCGTAAGGGGGAGAAAAGTGATGTAATTTTTGTTTGGTGTAGCAGTTGTTTCAGATTTTCTCTTTGATGACCTCTGACCGTAATTGTTTCCACAGGTGACAGGAAACCCAGGCGCTTTCAGAAGAAGTCTTATATTCTCAGCCTTGTCTTATTTGGGTTTTGAAACTTACCAACTTCTTTCTTCGGCTGCTGTGGTTCATGCCACAGCCAAAGGTAAGTCAGTTAAACATCTGGGGCACATAGAGATTTATGTTTGTCATTTTGGTGTTAATAACATAGTTGTTTTTGAATAGATACTGAAATTGACATTGTTATAGGCTAGATTATTTTCTGCTTTCCTCCACGTCAGTCTGATATACTTTCTTTTAATAACTCCAGCTCCTTCAATGAGAAATACTGTATTAATATGTTATAATTTTATAGGACCCTTGCACTAAGACTGGTACATTTTTTTCCTTTATTTTTATTGTAGACATTACAGATGTCCCCATTTTCCTTTCCCTTTGCCCGCCTCCACTCAGCCCCTACCCCCTCTTCCCTGTGGCCTTCACCACACTGTTGTCTGTGTCTATGGGTTATGCATACATATATGTTCTTTGTGATATATTGTGGAAGGGTTTCAGGGGTTGTGGTAGGAACAAAGAATGTCCTACAGAGACCATATCTGGTCCACAAAACCCAAAGTTCTTACTCTCTGGATGTGTATACAAAAAGTTTGTCAATCCTGCTTTATAATGATAAAATGATTCTTTTGTTTCCTTATTGCTAAGAAGTGTTAGGGCTTCTTGATACAATTAAGAAGGGCCCAATTACTCTGAGATAGAAGTATTTAATTTTTAAAGAATGCAATTTGGTACTAAATATCAAATAACTGGTTGAAAAGTAGAAAAATCACTCAAATTTCTTAGCATACTATAGATAAATAAACATTTTAAGAGTTGTCATATTTTAAAAGTTAAATTTAGTTAAACAAGTTGCGTATACAGACAGCCAAAATTTCAGCATATTAAAGTCTTTTAATTGAGAGGTTAAGCCTTTTTTTCACAGGCCCCACTTTTTAATCGTCGAGAAGGGAGTTGGGGAAAGAAGCAGAAATTTGATTTTGAATAGCTGTTCATATTAAAGTTCTGGTAAATGAAGAACTTTAGAGTATTAGCTAAAAATTACTTGTTGCTGATTTTTTTTATCTGTGAGTGTTCTTTTAAAAAGCAGGTAATTGAGAATTGCTATCTGTTTTTATCTTTGTTTTTTGTAATGCATCATTTTCATGAAGGACAAAAGAGAGGACCTGGTTTTATCACTGACTCAGTGACATATTTTAGCAAATAGTACATTTCAGCTTTTTAAAGCTCCGTAGACTTTTCACCATAGCTCCAGTATTCACAACTTTGTAAAGCTGTTAGGATAAGCGCATTATCACATTGTAATATTAATTTTTAAAAAAGTTATCCTTGAGAGATGTGCTCAGTGGCTGTGCTTTTAAGATCTGTGTGTGTATGTTCCATTATAATACTAATTTTTGAAAAGATGCTAACCAAATTAAATTTCTTCCAAGTCAAAGTGTCAGCGGAGATCAGAACTCTATCTTTTTTTTGTGTGTCTCATGCTTAGTTTATGTGTGTTAGCACCAACTCATTGCTGAAGTGGGTGCAAAGCATTTGTGCTCCTCAACAGCAAAATATGGTACCTTGAAAAGCAAAGCCCAAATTACTTTCAGCCCTTAATGATGATGGTCCATTTTTTTCAACCATGATTTTTTAATCCTTGCCTGAGGATATGTTTATTGATTTTAGAGAAAGGAAGTAGGGGTCGGGGAGAGAAAAAGAAATAGTGATGTGAGAAACATTTATCAGTTGCCTCCCATATGTCCCTCGATGGAGGATTGAATCCATAACCCTTCGCTGCAAGGGATGATGCTCCTCCAATCAACTGAGCCAAGGCACACCATGATCTTTATGACATAAAATTGCTGCATGTTCAGTAACATGCAAATAACATTTTAAGGTGCTACACCCGAGTGAGGCCTACTTGAGCTAAGTGTGGCCCTGTGCAACCTATGTGAAGTTAGAGGCAGTCTTGCTGTCACCTGTTCCCTTACTCTGCAACCCTTGCATCCCCTATCTTTCCTCACCTCTTGAGTGAGTGCAGGGAATTGGGCCCCAGGACTTCTGTGGACCAACTGGAGGTGCCTGCTCACATTGGCCCCCTGTCCTTGCAGGTAGCACCTGTGCAAATGGCAACTTCAGGTGTAAGCTTATGAAGCATTTTGCTTCAGCGGAGACCATTCATTGCAGTAAGGTCTCCACTGCAGAAACAGGGTCATATGACCTGTTCTGTGCCATCAGCACTTTATGAAAAGCTTGAGTGATGAACTTGGCTTTGCAATGTTGATGAAAGCAGACTGCAGGGTGGCAATTTGGGTCTTCAACCAGGCAGCCCTTTCCTGTTCCCAGGAGAGGCGACCTTGTCACTGGAGACTCCATCTTGGTGACCATTGCAGCAAACTCAACCCGAGAGAAGGAAAAATGTACCTTGACATAGTCAGGCAAAATGCGTCCACCTTCAATGACTCCCATTGTCGCCCCTGCTGCAAACTGATAGTGTTTCCAGTCTTCATGTATGTAGCCTGGAGTGTGTGTTCCCAAAAACAGTCACTGGAAGTGGTCTAACAATGGACAGTGCATGTGTTCATTTCTTATTGGGCAGAGGCTTGGTGTCCATTGTGACAGCTGTTGTGAAGGGATCCCTGGAGGGCACAGAGGCACTAAACACCTATCTGCAGTGAAGCAGATGTTGCTGGTGTCCTCCTGAAGGATCTGAACTCAGTTACAGGATCAGAAAAAGACCCCAAGGAGGGGGAAAATTTCGGCAAAGAAGTGATCGCCTGTGACTAGGAGATGGTGAAAATGAAAGGGTTTCTTAAATGTGCTTTTGGCTTCTCTGTAGCTGATTGAAGGGAAGCATTTTGAAGAGTCTTATGATTTCTACCATTAGTAAGGGTCTCTGTGGAATAATTATATCCTGGGAGAGAATGGTATCACGAAGATGACAGTACCCCTGACAAGGAGGCTCGTTTGAAGAAGAGTGCAGAAAAACTTTGGGAAATTCAGAAAGAGCTCAAGCTTTAAAGTCATTTAAAGCTACCATTCTGAACTTATTGAAGAGATGGTAGTTATAGGATTATATACCAGATATTTGAATAAACTTAAATTCATAAAAGTAGGGGAAAAAATAGGGTAGAATGACTTAGTTCTCTAGCTTTTTTATTTAGCATCCAGGTGCTGGATGTTCCTTATTTTTTACAGTTCCTGACTGCAGCGAAGATGTTTCTGGTACTTCTCCTGTACCAATACTAGCCTTCTATATGTATGTAGTTGACATTTGGCCCAAAAGTATATATGATATATGTGTGTATTGTGTTATAGGAGTTCTGATTCTTTTTATCCTGTACATGCTAATGCATTCATTTTGGCTGGCTTATACCTATGTTCATTTATATACTATTCAAAAGAAGTCATAACTTTCTCTACAATGTAAAAATAAAAGTATATACAAGGGGGAGCCCAAAATAAACCAGAATTAATAAAAAATTGTGTATTTAGTATTACATGCTTAGACTTCAGTCACCTTCAAAGCACTCTCCATTTGATGCAGTACCCCTGTCGAGACTTTTTCCCACTGCTCAAAACAGTTTTTGAACTTGTCAATTGTGATGTCTTTTAGTGCTACCATTTTTTTGTTTCACTTCTCCCACATGGACAAAATATTTCCCTTCGAGGATTTTTTTCATTCGGGGAAGGAAACCAAAAAAAAAAAGGTGGCTCAGAGCAAAATCTGGTGAATAGGGAGCGTGGGGCACAAGGGTCATTCCATTTTTGTCCAGAAACTGCTGAACACTCAGCAGGGTGTGGGCAGGTGCTCTTGTAAACTACCCATCATGAAATGGGCAAGCATGCCAAAAGAGTCTTCAAAAAAATTCACTGAAGCCAAATGCAGCCTCCCACAACAAGGCCAGCTGGTACCCTGATACAGATGGGTTCCTAGAACACTCACCTAGTGGGGGAATCCTGTACTACAAGGGACCCGCCTTCCAGGAGGTAATTCCAGTTTTATTTTGGTACCCCCTTGTATGTGCAGAAATGACTCAATGTTCCAATCCTAGCAATAAGTAAAACCTTGAAAAAAATAACATTTTAATATTCCAAGGTATAATTTATTCTGAAAACTAAATTCATTGTGTTTGTTAGAGATTTTAATGAGACCTGCCCTATGTTTTAGAATCCTTTCTCTATCTTCAAGCATATTTTGAGCACTTGAAATGTTAATGCAGAGAAAAGAGTATGGATGTTTATTTAGCTTTCCTTGATTTTCTTTAACTTTGTTTTGTAAACAAAACATCACTTTATAACTAGTTGATTGATATGTTCATTTAATTTGTTTATGAGATGAGGCTGTAGCCCAGCTATTGGGGGGGGAAAAGGTCAATTGATAAAACAGAGAAGCCCCGTTTTTTTATAACTTGGAAAATGATCCAAGTTCATGTGAAAATATAACTTCATTGGTCCTTGCAAGTTTTCCTTTGTGATCTCTCTCTTTTTTCTTTCCTATGCTGTGATTCTTATTTTTCATATATTTTTGAAATTGGTCTTCAGTTAATTCCATTCATCAGAACTTCTGCTTAATTTTATTTAAATCAGCTTCATGCTCATTGAAACCAATTAATTTTCCTTCCTCCAGCTACTGGGATTAAACCATATTCTGAATTGAAATTTTTTTAGAACTTAATCTAAGGCATAATATGTGTTCAACATTCCAGTTGGATGGGATTGTGGGACTCATTTTTTAAGGCAATGTCTATACTTAAACCACAAGATTGTATCAACTACCTACTTGTCAGCCGCAATTGAAGCAGTCCATTAATAAGTTTTTTATTTCCTTAAAACAGACAAAATTTAAAGCCCCTCAAGATATGCCATCAAGAGAGGGAGGGGGGTATCTAGGTATCACTTGTAAAATGCTTAAAAGTGACTCAACCTGAATGACCTTCCTAAATCACTTCCATTGTCTCTTCACTTTTGATCTTGATTTCTCTTTATTGAAGATCTTTTAGCACTGAGGTCTGTGCTCCTTCACGTGTAACCTTGTGTTACTTCAGGGCCCTTTAGAGGCACTGTCTCCAGTCCTGCTAGGGATTATTGGTGTGAAAAATTTGCCTTAAATTTTAGGATGTAGCTGGTGCTTAGAGTCATCTAGTATCCAGAGAAATCTGAGAGTATCTAGAATACTTAGATACTCACTTTCTGCTTTCTAAGTCCTCTACTGAGAAACTTCAGAAATAGAGCTATTTTACCTGCTTGGAGAAGTATCCATATCTGTCCAGGTGCCTCTCACATGTCTCAGAGTGCATTCAGCAAGAATAACTAGAAAACCTAAGTTTACTAACTTATGCATATAGTCACATCATTGACTCCTTTTATGTTGACCTTTTTATGTTTATTTTTTGAAAAATTCAAAAATTCATTCATTCCACATACTCCTTTTAGGCTAAATTTAAAGTTTCACTGTACAGCTGTGGGTGAATTAATATCTGTTTATCTTGGGATATGTATTGATTATTTAGGTTGAAAAAATATTTTTTAAAAATTATATTTTACTGATTATGCTATTACAGGAAAAGTAATTTACTTTAAAAGTTTGGTGCATTTTATAGAATATGGTCTCTTTATGTCAGTAACATAGCTTATTTTTAAATGTTTTCAGGAAAAGTACAGTGCATTAAACAAGTAAAAAAAAACAAAAAACCAAAAAACAAAACCACAGCTGATTTGCAGAGATGTGAGTGGTCTACATGCTCCCACCTTAGTGCCCATGTGAGTCTGTAGTAAGTGCATCTTTTCTTATAAATTACACACTAGATGATTTTAGAAATTTCTTTTTAGAGTCAGGAAAAAAATGTTTCTAAAACCTCGATACTATAGTTTATGGAACTGTACTATATAATAAAGAAATTGGAGATAAGTGATATAAGAAGTTATAAAAGAATAATATACAGATAAGTTAAATTATTTTAAATTATTCACTAGATTTCTACATTCGAAAAAAAAAAAAATTACATGGGTGATGAATGTAGAGTTCCTGGATCATGTTCAGGACAGTATCTCTTTATTGGGCTCCTCAGGGTGTGGAAGAAAAATCAGTGAGTAGAATTGAATGTGACTCTGCTACTTTACACATGCCATGTACACATTACAGTATGCCTGGTCAGTATATTTAATATTGTAAACAAGTTTCCACACACTTAGTGACTTACTGTCTTCCAATTCGTAGTTTAAAAGCCTCAAATGGGTCCCTCTCTGTTCAAGGAGTCAGCATGGCTGTATTCTTTTGGAGGCTCAAGGGGAGAATGTGCCTGGTGTTTTCAGCTTTGAGAGGCTTTCTGCATTCCTTGGCTAAAACCTGTTTTCCTGCCTATTCATAACCATGAATATATCACTCTGATCTCAACTCTATTATCATGCTTTCTCTGACTTTTTTCTTCTGCCTCCCTTGCCCACTTTTAAGGACTTATGTGATTATCCTGGGCGCACCTGGCTAATCCAAGATCATTTTCTATTTTGATGTTAGCTGATTAGCAACCTTAATTCCATTTATAAATTTAACTCCCCTTTATTATGTCAGCTATACATTTTCATAGGTTCCAGGGATTAAGATGTGGACATGATCAGGGTCATAGTTCTGCTTAGCACAAAATATTGACTAAGAATGTTGAGACTATTACTTACTGTTTTTTAAAGAATCTTTGGGTTGTTATAACCTCAATTTGGAGAGTGAGCCACTGATAAAAAAAAATATAGAATAAATTGGAAGGAAACTTAAGAGAATTACCAACTGTGTGACTATTACTGGGTTGGCCAAAAAGTCCATTTAGTTTTTTCTATAAAACAAAAGACACATTTTTCATTGTCACCAATAACTTCATTGATTTGGAAATTTTGAGTATATCAGCTATCTCCCACTATTGGCGTCTAGTGGATAGAGGCCAAGGGTGCTGCTAAACATTTTCCACAACAGCCCCACAACAAAGAATTTTTTGGCCAAAATGTCAGTAGTACCAAGAAACTTTGCAAACCACTTTTGACACATTTACTCAGTCACAGCACCTTCTCCATTCACTGCATAAATCTTTTTTTTCATTTCAGTTGTGTTTTTACCTTCTTGAAATAATACAGCATAATATGCTGAAACTTGCATATTTTCTTCCATCTTCAGTATTAAAATGGCTGCACAAAAATTCACCAATTCTGATTTTTTTTCTTTAATGCATGCTGATATGACAGCTGTCACAGTACAAGCTAACAAAATTGTTTTGAATGAAGTTAAAGACAACTAAGTTCTACTAGGGCTGTGGTACAGAAAAAACTAAACAAACTTTTTGGCCAACCCAATATTAAACTCCAGTACCTAACAAGATTGAAATAAGATTGAAGGAAAAAAATCTTTCAGGGTTTCTTTGCTTATTGTCATTTAATTTTTCTTAAACTAGTATGGTTATATCATGGTGTTAATAAAAAATACTTCATGTGGTTGTGTCATTCATGAGTTTTTTTTTCTTTTTTGATGATTTGGGTTTTAATTCAAAAATTTAACCTCAATACACTATGATTAATTAAAGCATTCCAATATAAATAACAAACTGAACTCAGTACATTGGAATGTTAGGTCATTTGTAGGACTAATAAGCACCCTTATAGAAAACAAAATTCAGTGTCTCCCTTAATAATTGGAATATCCTGAAATTCACATTTAATTTTTTCCAGTAACTAGTCAACTTCAGAGCATTATACTCTCTATAAGGTTTATATGTTTGAGAGTAATGTCTAAACTAGTTAGTGAGTTGTTTGGAACACAGTGTGAATCAGGTAAGTTTCAGATTCTCTATATAGTTAATTTCATCTAAGTTTTTGATGACAGATGACTCTTTAAAATATCTGTATAAGTCAGGTCATAAAGTGAATCTGGTAAAACAGCGTGGTTCAATACATGCAAACTGTAAGTTTTCTTATCATCGTTTTCTACAATCGATGGTAATTAACAGCAACAACATCAAAGACTGGAGGAGGAGAGTACCGTAACTTGTCACAGGAAGTTCCTTTTCTCATTTTAAAAAATGTATCATATTGAGTACCAGAATAAGTTGTCTTAAGTTTTTATTTTCCATGGTATAAATAAATCACTTACTATGATAGCTTCATAATTATTTATTTCTTTTACACTTGTGTTTAGATACTTCAGGATGTTGGATCTATGTAATTTTCTTTGCTTATATATGAAAGTGTGTTTCTTAGAATTGTTGCCATCTGGCTTGGGAAGACCTGCTTTACTGTGTGATTTTCATTTATAGTATTCAGAGTTGAAGAAGTCCTGCAACAAGCAGATTACCTCTATGAAAGTGGAGAAACTGAAAAACTCTATCAGTTGCTGACCCAGTACAAGGAAAGGTAAGCAGAGTGTGATGGGCCTGGGTTTGCAGTTTTCTCAACATTCTCTTGTTATTTAACACTTAAAATGAGTCCTGGTGCTGCAAGTCTTCACAATTTTTTTAGATTTTTACTTCAAAATAATATTTCTTAGAGCTTCATTTATAGCATGCTATTTCTTAAGTTAAATGATTCAAAACTGCTGCATGTATGTCATTGACTTAGAAAAGGTTGTTCTACTTATAATAGTAGAATACTGAAATACTTTGTCCATTTTGTTAGTTTACTTTGGATCATACAAGTTGCCGAAGATGTTTACGTAACCGATAGCATGTTTGTCATTTCTTATAAATTAATTTCTTACTGGTATAAGATTTTAATGAATTCAGGTGGTTGTATGCCTCCACTGAATGGTGTCTGTGTATTACGTTAGAACCACAGCCTTTAGAGAAGCTAAAAATACCTTTTTAAAAAAATTAGTTTACATGTTTAGTCCAGAGTATCAGTGTAATAAACACATTTAGGGAGAAGATAGAGGTGGGGTAGATCCAGCCCTATAAAGTGAATCAAATAAGGCATTTCCAAGTCACTGATTAACCTTATCTCTTTTTACTTCCTTTTTTAGATTCTTAAGACCTATCGTTTTACTTCCTAAATGTCTGTAGGACCTAGGTCTCCTTCTACTGTTCTCTCAGTAACTTGGGAGAGCTGGCCATGCATTTTTACACTCACTTTAGTAATTAGTTGAAAAGTAAGCTGTTAGGTAGTTACTCCATATTCATCGAATTATAAATATACTATTCCTTCCTTTAGTTTAAAAATTTTATGTGAATACCATTTTTTGTTAAATATGAGGAGGGGCAAAAGTAGGTTTACAGTTGTGAGTACATAAAATAGTTTACCATATTACTTGTTAGTATAGAAAATACAATAAATAACTATAAACCTACTTTTGCCCCACCTTATATATAATATAGTAGGCTTAAAGGCAGACATTTAATAAAAAGGAATTTAAGGTTAGTTTTAAAACTATTTCTACCTCTTGTGATTACTACTTTATTTATTAAGCATTTCTTATTTTACATAATTGTGTTTAAGTGGAAGTTCTTCAAGGAGTACGGTGCCCTTACTTGAAATATGCCATGTCTTGTGGCATGGATTCATTTGGAAATTACATTGTACTCATTGTAGTCACTCAGTAATATGTACTTATATATCTGTTGTGTGCCAGGTACTGTATGTGGGGCTAGGGTACAGACCCTGTATGTCAATTTGATGTGTTTGATGTCCTGTCTGAAACCTAATGCAATGCAGTCAAGCCTCAAGTTATAGGTTGCCTTTTGTAGGGCAAGTGTTTGGAGAATTCAAAAGAAAGATATTTTCTAGGGAAGGTAGCATTTCAGAGTAAGTTAATATTTATGTGTAATACTAGGTATTTTGTAGGAAATTTCTTACCAAATAAAGCTATGTGAGAAAATTACAAATTTAACATTATGAATAATGATATTTGATATCATGTTGCATATTTATTTCTTAGTGATGTGACCTTTGACAGTTTTTAAAAATGCAACTTAAAAATGGTGGTTTTGTATTTACTTTAATTAGTGAAGATGCAGAATTACTATGGCGTTTGGCTCGGGCGTCACGTGACATGGCTCAGCTTAGCGGAACCTCAGAAGAGGAGAGAAAAGCCCTGGTATATGAAGCCCTAGAGTATGCAAAAAGAGCACTAGAGAAAAATGAAGCAAGTTTTGCAGCTCATAAGGTGAGGTGCATAAAGTAACAATGGTTACCACGTACTGAGGGGTACACTGGTCTACACTTATCAATTATCCCTAATTTACGTAGGAAAGAACATTCTTTATGTTAAAATAAGGAAGAAATGTATGTTTATAACACTTTTTCAAAGAAGTTTTTTCCTTTGTGTTATTGAATACTTAACTACCTTCATGAGTTTGATAAATTACTTCTCTTAATGCTTATTTTCATGAATTGCCTGTATCTTTACTCCTAGTAGTACAAATACTTAACATATGTTTTCTTACTTTCCTTACATTCTGTTTCTGTTCTGTGAGACTAAGTGTAACTTTTCACATGAAACCCCACTACTTTCTGGATTTCCTAACTGGATAGAATAGTGGTTTTTAATGGACACTGGGGAGAATATAAGACATTATTGGTAGTTTGGATTAGGACATTACTTTGTCATGTTGGACTGTCCTCAGTAGAGCCCCAGGTCATTGGGAGATTTTCATATGCTCCCTATAGGGGCTAGTTCTCTGGCCTGTTCCTCCATACCCTGACACATGCCTGCATGCACACACACACACAGGTTTTATATTAAGGATAAAACAGATACAAATCCTTTAAATTTGTTGCGACCTCTTTTGTGGCCCAGTATATGGCCCATCTTTATAAATATTCTTTATGTACATTCATTCAACTGCTGTTGAGAGTGTCTTAGAAATGTCATTGAGATCAAGTTGTTGATAGTTCCAGTCTATCAGTGATGTTCCAATCTTCTCTATGTTTACTGATTTCTGTCTATCTGTTCTACCAGCCATTGAGAGGTGGAGTGAAATCTCCAAGTATAATTGTAGATTTTGTCTGTTGATCTTTGCAATTTTATTAGTTTTTACAACATGCACATTTATTTATTTATTTATTTTTAATTTTGTTTTTTGAGTCCAAGTCTCTCTATTTCAAATGCCTGGCAGCCAGGCAGGCAGCAGCAGCAGTGTAGTGTTCCTGGCTGGCAAGCATAGGGCTGGGGTGGCAGCTCCATTTGGTTCACCAAGGGCACTGCCAGTAGAGACCTTTGCCCCAGGACAGTCTAGATGCTGTGAACAGGCAGAGTAACCAACCTTTCTTTTTTGTCTTGCTAATCCAGCTCCAAGAAAGAGGGTGCTGTTTCCCCTGTGTACTTGGGTCCCAGAATAGGCTCTTCACTGACATCCTTCTTCCCACAGTGGCCCTCTTCGTTTTTGCTCCCTTCCTAAGGCAGCTTTGGGTGCCAGCAGAGCCATGGGTGTGGCTGCAGGCTCTGGACATCAGAGGGGCTTGCGTCTGGCAGCAGGTGGTGATACAGAGCAGTGCTGTCGGAGCGGGCTGAGAGCTGAGTGCACGGAGTAGTGAGGCAGCAGGGCAAGCCACAGGGCTCGGAGGGCAGGTGTCCCTTATCATAGAGAAACCAGACTGTCTGGAGTAGCTCTGTGTGTCTCCCTGCAAGTGGCAGGCAATACATTGGGCAGCCTGTAGGTTTCTCAAGCCCTGTAGAGGAGATGCCAGTGCAGAGTGGCTCTTGCTCATTTGCCTATGTCAGGTTCATGAGGTAGGTTTTGTGATCTCCTTGCATAGTTGCCATCTATTTGGTAGAACCAGTAACCAGGATTAAGGCTGATGTAAGTGGTGGTGCTGGGTGCCAGGAAGACTACAGATAGCAGCCAGCTCATGGTTTCCTTGTCATAGAAGACTTCAAACTCATTCATGTGGGTATGGCGAAAGAATTGACCAGCCAAGGTGTTCTAGTACCTAGTTACAATTCAGTAATAATTTCAGCTCCTGCTCTTCAGGCAGTGCCCTTGGGGGTATGCGGCCAGTGACTCTATTTTGCCGTGTAAAACATGCACTTTTTTGCCCAAATTTTTTAGGGAAAAATAAGGATTCATATTATACATGGGTAGTATTAATTCCGTATCTATATAAATGTCTTTAATTCTTTTATTTATGCTAATGTGTTAAAAGACTAACTAGAAAGCAATAACAATATCCATATGTTCAAAAATAAAATGTTACAATCCCTTTATAATACAAAAGCAAGTATCTAGATATAAATAATTGAATTAAAAAATTAAAATGAAAGATTTTTTTTCCTGAAAGTTTGGACCAAAAACGTGGGTGTGCTTTATGCACAGAGAGTGCATTATACATGGCAAGATATGGTATATGCACCGTGTCTCCTTGATCCTTGTTAGCCTCAGTAGCCTGAAGTTCCCCCACCAGCCACTGGAGGTGTCCAGTACGATCTGTGGAGTTGATCAAGAGTCAGAAGTTTTCACGGTAACAAAAATTCATGTTGAGAGAGATGAGGTGGAGGCCACGGAATGGGGAAAGGGCATAGAACCTCTCAATTCTGAAGCGAAGTGAACTGAAGGTGTCAGCACTTGGTCGTAATCATGGTCGTGCTTGCCCAGTCCTGTGCTAGGGCAGAGGCATATAAAACATCATCTCTAGCTTTAAGGAACTCTCACCCTAGCTGAAGACCAAACAGTATGATGATAGGGCCCAAGTGCCTGAGGAGAATGGTTCAGAGGACTAAGGGCTCTAGGAGTTCAGGGTAGATTGAAAAGTGAACTAGAATGGGAAGCAAAGGCCACTCAGGAAAGATGACGTGGACCTAGGTAAGTTGGGGAAAGGTGGGATTATTAAACAGGAGTGGAAGGCATTCTAGAGAGAGCCAACAGGAGCACAGCTGAGACTAGTGTGGGAAGGGTATGCTGCCACAACATGTACTTTTAAAGTGTTGTTATTAGGAATGTAAACATGCAGTATTGTTTCAGTTTCTTGATTCACTGACCTCTTTGTCACTGTAAAATGATCGTTTTTATCTAGAATTATTCTTTGTTTTAATTGCCTACTTTGTCTGATATTAATGTAGCTATTTTCTTTTGTTAACATGTCTCCTTTTCTGTTAATTTATTTGTGTCTTTATATTTAACATATACTTCTTTTTAAAGATTGTATTTATTTATTTTTAGACAGAGGGGAAAGGAGGGAGAGAGGGAAACATCAATGTGTGGTTGCTTCTCATGCACCCCCTACTGGGGACCTGGCCTGCAACCCACGGATGTGCCCTGACTGGGAATGAAACCAGCGACCCTTTGGTTTGCAGGCTGGCATTCAGTCCACTGAGCCACAATAGCTGGGGCAACATATACTTTTGGAAAGCTGGTAATAATTTTCTTTTTTCTTTTTTTTGCTAACATTCTTTTTAAAAAAAATCAGTTTTTCAGTTGCACGTGACATTTAACATTATATTAGTTTCAGTTGTACAACATAGTGGTTAGATATTTTTATACCTTACAGAGTGATCCTCTGATAAGTTTAGTACCTACCTGGCACCCTACAAAGTTATCACAATATTGACTGCATTCCTTGTGCTGTATTTTACATCCCTGTGACCATTTTATAAGTACTAATCTGTACTTAACACCTTCACTTTTTTCACCCAGCCCCCAAAGCCCTTCCCATCTGGTCCTCACCAGTTCTCTGTATTGATGAATGTTTCTATTTCATTGATTTTTTTTTTTTTTTTTTTTTTTTTACATTATTAAGGTATTTTTTGGGGGAGCGCAGGGATAGAGAGAGGGAGAGAAACATTGATGTGAGAAAGAAACAGGGATTGATTCTCTCTCGTACTCAGTCCAAACCCACAACTTAGGCGTCTGCCCTGACTTGGAATCGAACTGACTACCTTTTGCTTCGTGGGATGATCCCAATAATCCCCAGTCAACTGAGCCACACCAGTCAGGGCTGTTTTGTTTAGTTTTTTAAATTCCATATATCAGCCATATATCATCACATGGCTGTTGTCTTTCTCTCCCTGACTTATTAGCATAGTATCATCTAGGTCAATCCAATCCATCCATGTTGCCATAAATGATAAGTTTTCATTCTTTTTATGGGTGAGCAGTATTGAGCCGTAAATTTTGCTCAGCTATAAATATTATGGCTGAACAACATTGTATTTATGTAGTACCTTTTTATCCATTCATCTGTTGATGGACACTTAGGTCACTTCTAAATCTTTTTGATGCTATTGTAGTTTTAATTTCATTTTCACATTATTTATTGCAAGTGTATAGGAATGCAACTGATTTTTGCATATTGATTTTACATCTTACAGCTTTGCTAAACTCGGTTACTGTATAGTCTTTAGAGTTTTCCATATAATATCATGTCATCTATCATGTCAAGTAGAGCTAGTTTTACTCTTTCATTTCTTTATCTTGCCCAACTTCCCTGGCTAGAACTCACAGCACTGTGTTGTAGTGGCAATTCTTGTCCCTGATTGTAGGGGAACCTATTAGGCTCACTGTGTTTCTCAGGTGTCACTGCTGCCTGATGACTGCTATCTCAAGAACCTTTATTATATTTTGTTTGGTTTTTTAATGTTTCAGGCAAGAAGGTAAGTATAGTATCTATTAACCTCTCTTGGCTGTATCTATGTAAAAGTTTTCTTTAAAAATAATGTAAACTCAATATAGACAATAGTCATTTTGGAAATTGAAAAAGAGTACAAATACAGAAATAAAAACCACTCATGATTACACCTCCTACTGTTAACTGTTGCTGATCATTAACTAACTATAAGTCACCAAATGCCACCTTAATCAGGGGAGATTGTGTTTGCTCTGCATGTAGGTGATACATGCATAAGAGAAGATGATTTTACCCAGAGTCCTGAGGTGTGGGAGAGGCTCGGAGCACCGTGTTTGAGACCCTGTGTGACCCCTCTAGTCATCTGAATTAGGTGTCTGTCATTGCATATTAAATGAATATGGACTATAGAGGTGTGTGTGTGAAAAATGATACTTTTTCCTTTTTCAGAAACATTGAAAGTACAAAGTATTTTGGTGGAGAATAGATCAAAACAGAAGTTTGGGTGTTAAAATCTTTCTGGCTAAAATAATTAAAATCCCACAGAAATAAGCTCAAACAAAAAAGGGAGGTGTTTATTCTAGAAACTACTGCATTTCACAAAACACAAAGGCAGGTGCATTTAGGCTTCAGGATACACTGACTTGATTGATCTGAGGCTATGTTCTCTTCTTTGCATCTTTTTCACTGAAGACTTTCTCATCCTGAGTTCTGTGACTTTCCACAGCACCTGGGTTTACAGAGCTTGGATATTTTGAATTCAGTTCTTAGAGAAGAAACTCAGATTGTCTCAGTGTGTGTCTGTTGTCCAAGTGTGGCTGTGGGGACATGGCTGCAATTGACATATGCAGTTGTTATTACTGTAACAATGCAGAAATGGAGAAGAGGTAGCTCCCAGAAAAATAGATGAGAAAATGAGTTATGGAATGGCAGATTTTTCTAAATTTAGTCTAAGACTATAAACATGAATCATTACCGTATTGTGTTGATGACTTCCTTAAGAGATTCACTCCTCTATGCTCTCTTCTTTGTACTCTGGTTCTCTATAAAGATGTGCCATCCTTGAGTTTTTAAGGACCATGACCTCTTTTCTTTGTATATTCCAGTGTATATAACACAATATTTATGCTCAATAATTTTTTGGTGAATGAGAATAACTACTGATGAATAAGTAGTTATTCAATTTTACTTTGTATTGAATGGACTATTAAGTATTGTTATTCTTATACCTTTTTTCTTCTATTTTTAGTGGTATGCAATCTGTATTAGTGATGTTGGAGATTACGAAGGCATCAAGTCTAAAATTGCAAATGCCTACGTTATCAAGGAGCATTTTGAGGTACTGCAGAATTGAAAAAGCCATTAGTTTTCTGAATAGATTTGTCTCACTTATTCCTCACTGTTTAGCAAACTGCCTCAGACTTGGTGGCCCCAAGCAATGACAGGTTTATTCCTCCCAGTTCTGTGTGTTGACAGCACTGAGTGCTTCTCTTCTACTTGGTGTAGCTCCAGCTGACTGAGAACTGCAGTCACCTGGCTCCTCAGCTGGGATGGGTGTACAGGATGGCCTCTCATTTTCACCAATTTCTATCCATTTAGCTGTTTAGCCAATGCTTCTTTACTGCATGATTGCTGGCTTCCAAGAGTGAGCATTCCAATGGAGAAGTCCCAGAGTGGAAACTCACATCACACTTGGTAGTATCCCTTCTACCCAAACAAGTCATGTGGCCAAAGCCAGTCTGTGGGAGGGAACTGTGCAGAGCCCCATACTGGGAGGTATGGTCTCTTCTAACAGTCTAACAACTGCTGCTCCACTCCCATAGTGACAGTGCTGTTTATGCTGTGATCTCTGTTTTTGTGTTTTAGTATCTCCCCTTAAAGTTAACTCATGTGTTCATGATAAGCTCTTCTTCAGCTGCCAGAAGCCCCAGAAGTCTGTGTGTTCCACGATGCACATACACACTATTCTACTGTCCTCCAAACAAAACCACCATTGAAAAGCCAGTGTGTTTATTTTGGTTGTGATATTCTATGAGGGGTGTCTAACCTTTGGTGTCTCAGGGCCACATTGGAAGAACAACAGTTGTCTTGGGCCACACATTAATATATTGCAACATGTAATTACCAAAAAAAAAAAAAAAAAAAAATCTCATGAAGTAAATTTACGATTTTGTGTTGGGCTGCATTCATAGCTGTCCTGGGCCGCATGTGGCCTGTGGCCGTGGGCCGGACACCCCTAGACCATCTCAAAAATACAAAGGAAAAGAAAGTGATGAAAACATGCATAGGGATAATGTTAGTCTGTGTAATAGCTTTTCTGGATTTCATGGCGATAGTCTCAATTCCTAGTTTTTTTAATGACTAATGAAAAAGAACATTGGATGGGGAGTCAGACCTAGCTTCTTACTCAAACAAGCATCGGTAGTACATGTACATGTCTGTTATGTGTGTGTATACGTTTTAATTTAATCCTAATGCATTTTTCATATTCTGAGACCTTTGAAATCAGACTGCATTATATAGCCAGTGGTAATTGCTTTTTCTTAGTGGTATATAATATAATGATATGTCATAGATATTATGATATCTTAGACTCAGTGAAATACAGTATTTTTCTCAGTGGCATTAGATATATCTCCCAAATTACTCTCTGCCTTGGTATGTAGAAATAAACGACAAATAACTTCCAGTATAATCAATGAAAAATTGAAGAAAATATATTAATATATACTTTAAAGAAACAGTGGAGGCTGTAAGTTATGTTTTTTAAAAAACAATGTTCTGTATATGCTTTCAAATGTATATGTATTCAGGATATTTAAAAATGACAACGTTTAGTATTTATTGTGTATACTGTTATTTTAGATTCCATTATTTTAGCTACAGTCAGAAGGAATTACTGTCTTTGGGTTGTTTTTGAAGACACTTAAACTAAAAGAATTTGCCTGAGAGTAGCCCATCTCACCCATCCCATAAGAAAGTTGAACTCTAGTGCCCAGGGCACCGTATATGTGATGAATTTACCTCCCTCTTTTGCATCTTGAATGCCATGATACCTGTACCTGTAGAATGCAGAAAATATTTATATAATTTTTTATAGGGCTTAGTTTTCTAGTGGAACTCAAATAGCAATAGGGAAAGCTACCTTAAAGTAACAGTTGTATGTACTTCAAAATATATTTTGCTATAAATCATATCAATATTTTGAAGAAGGTAAGTCTTTTGATCAGTGCTGATTCTTACCCATATTTTTGAAGCTAGAGTTCTGCCAAGTCATACTTGTTAGCTTCATTCTGTCACCTGTACCACTGCCACTAATTGATGTTAGTGAGAAATCAAGTGCCTGGTACTTAAGAAAAGTAAAAATAATGGTGACAGAAGATATTACAGTGTTAAGCACCTCCTGTTACTCGCTCATTTCATTTTCACCATAGTCCTTCTGGGAGGTTTATTATTTTCTTAATTTTCTCAAAGAGCAAACCCAGGCAGGAGTATAAGTTAGAAGTCATGAGCTGTGATTTGAACCCAGGTAGTTTGTCTTCACAGCTCACACTGGTAACCAATACAGATATTTCAAAGTGAAAGTGTGGATGTACAGAAAAGCGTAAGCTAGGAAGTCCATTTTTAAAAAGGGATCTTTTATTTTTAATTAAAATTATATCACATTAATTACAGTACATTACTCTGTGAGATAACATTAATCTGTGAGATTTCCCTAGCAGTTTTCAACAAAATACTGGATAAGGGGAGTAATTTCATTAAAGTGATTCTGTAGTTCATGTTTTACATTAATTCACACAGGACTGTCATGTAGTAAATGGAAACTAGGGATACTTTATAATATTTTCCCTTTTACATAATCCTATTAATGAATTCTGTGAATAAATAGTATTTATTTTTTCTCGGTTAGATGGGTAAGTTGAGCAAAATCTGCATACAGGAGACTTTCTAAAAGTATGTACTTTGTTCTTTTAGGAAAGAATGCTTTTTATTCACATAGGACGTGGCAGAAAAGAACTTCCTTATTTTTCTTTTAATCTAGAAAAAAGAAACATGAGAGCTGTGGATTACTGTTCAAATTAGCTTTACTTCCGTATTTCATGTTTTTCTCATCTTGAGAATCCCTATTATCAGTTTCTGAACTCTATAAAATATTGTAACCTTAGTACAATTTAATCATCTATTGAAACAAATTTAACCAATTAAAGAATCAAGGAGGGAAATTGGTGTGGATTTCACGAAGAATTAAAATGCAGGATTGCAAAAAATTTTTTTTAAATCATGGCTTCTTCAGTAAACATGGTGAAGTTTCTATTGCTGTTTCAAAAACAAATGATTGTTTTTCTCATTTCTTGTTAGAAAGCAATTGAATTGAACCCTAAAGATGCTACCTCAATTCACCTAATGGGTGTTTGGTAAGAAAATTTTGAATAAATATTTCAGTGGTATTTAGTATGACCTAATCTTGTAGTGTATAAAAAAACAAGGTGTAAAATGTTTTTAAAAATTACTTGGCAGTCTGGAGTGCTTTAATCCATTAAATTAATTAGCAGTTGTGCATGTATTACTAGAAAATACTAAATTTGATTGTGATCATGTTAAATATTGTTATTCAGATAATTTAGAAACATGTGCAGTTATCCCCTCTTATCCATGGGGCCTATGTCCAAAAGCTCCAGTGGCTGCCTGAAATTGCAGGTGGTGCCCAACCCTGTATATGCTGTTTCCCCCCCCCCCTACACATACCTTTTTCCCATAAAAGGAGTGCTTACAGCTTCTCTTTGGAGTATCTGAATTGCCGCTTCACTAATTGGTGCTTTGGGGTTGTTAGGAAGTAAAATTAGGGTGACCTGAGCACACCACTGATACCTCTGATAACAGATGGCTACTGAATGACTGACGGGCAAGAGCATCTACAGTGCATGTACAAAGGGATGTGACTCAAGTCCTGGGTGGGCCTGCGCAGGTCACACGAAATTTCATCACACTACTTGGAAGGGTATGCAATTTAAACTTACGAATTGTTTCTGAAATTTTCCATTTAATAGTTTGGGACCATAGTTGACCATGGTAACTGAAGCTGCAGAAAGGAAACCATGGATAAGGGAGGATGACTCCACCAAGACTGAAAAGGCATTAGAACTTTGTGATAGACTTTAAAATTCCCTTTGATGAGAATGACTATTCTTTACCAGGCAAAGTGAAATTGGTTCACTAACCACTGTGGAGGAGCACAGGGAGGGAGCCTCAGAGGACCCCCACGCCTTGAGTGCATCTGAGAACAAGTCACCTGACTCTGAGTGTCGTCTTGTTTCTGTGTAACTTTGTCCAGCATGTTTCAGCTTGTTCACTTGATTGAAGAAATGTCTGAACACAGGCCTGGCACTGTCTTCTTTGTGTGTAGTCTGCAGAGCTAAATATTTATTGTCTTCTAAGAGGTGACAGTGTAAACTGTTCTGAAACAAACTTTTCTCATAGAGGGAAATCTTCAGGACAAAGGACATACTAAACTAACCCAATGTCTGCAGTAACTGAGTCAGATGTTTGTGAGTAAACATGAGTTCAGACCTAGTCGAAGACCCAGCACTTTCTTCCTACTCACCTCAGAAAGGCGTCAAGATCTTTAGATGTCAGTCATTTGCCTTACCCTTTTAAACATAGACACTTAAAACTGTTGGTTGCAATTGTTTTTTATGCATACCCTGTTTGGTTTTGTCACTTTTCTTAATCCTTTTTTAACATTTCTGAGTTACTTTTTCTCATTAAAAAAAAATAGAGTAATGATCCTATTTCATAAGCAGATGAGAGGAATTCACTGAACCCAGCACCTGGGACAGTGTGAGCACTCTGGGCGAATGACACGCTGTTATTACTAGTACTGTTGTGAACTGTTTATATTTGATCACAAAGTACATCCTAATTGATGGGTCAGTATAAATGTCAGTCTCTGCACAATTCAGTATGGCTGTTTACTTACTAAGCATTAGGTCCACTAGGAATTTTTTAAATAGACAACGGGAGAAGATTGCTTGTCTATCTGTTAAGCTCTTTGATTCTCTTTAAGAGACAATAAGGAAGTGCAATTTGATGTACAAACATTTGCTTCTTTAGGTGTTACACATTTGCCGAAATGCCTTGGTATCAAAGAAGAATTGCCAACATGCTGTTTGCAGCCCCTCCCAGCTCCACCTATGAGGAGGTGTGTGACGTCCTTGGCACAGTTAGTACTGACCTCTGAGGTGTGGTGCCTTTGCAGGGCTCTCCCTCGGGACTGGTCAGTGTGGCTGGCACAGGCTTTGCTGTGTTCATGACTCTGTGAGTGCAACTTCTCTGGCTGGAGGCTCACAGTGCTGGTGTATTGTTAATTAGAGTAACCCACGGCTAACAGCTGCATTATCTGTTTGAAATTTATGCTATGAAATAAAGTCATCAAATAGAACAGGAAATATAGCAACTGTTCCTCAGCATGTTTTAGGGACATGTTCTGTACAGTAAGTCATTTACCTGCAAAATAAAGCACGACTGTATTGATAACTAAAAAAAAAGTTCTCTTGAAAGGCTCATATTCTGTAATTTTCTCAAGACCTTTTGCTTTTCCTGTTAAAAATAAAATTTGAAAAGGATTTCTGGACAAACATCTTGGGTTTACTCATCACGAGATTTTCAAAGCAAGGAAATAGGCAGTTGTGAAATAGCTTTCACAGTATTTATATCATAAGGAGATGTTTTTTCCCTGAGGTGTATAATTAGAGCACAGTTGGGATTTATTGCTATTTAAAAGAATGCATTCTAAGAAGAAAGATAGCTCTGCTGTAACAAATCAGTTACAGTTTTTAATAAATCAGTTGTCAGAACAGTATGAGCAGGTCAAAAAGAAAAAAGCACTTTCAGACACAAAACATTTTATATAGGAATTTCAATAATAAAGAACTTTTAAACATTCACTAGAGTACAACATATGTATCACTGAGTAAATTCAAGCTTTTGATTTTTACCAAGTTTTCACCAGTAGTCATTGTTAGGATTTAAAACAAGAAAGATTAAAATAGCCCAGTCACACATGACACTTCTTTCCTCTGCATGTGATACTGCTTTCGGACAAGTCATGGCTAGAAGGGTCCTATGTAAACTGTGCTCTGGGGACTTAAAAGAGTTATGTTTAGTCTTGTTATGTTAGTTAGATCTCACTGTTGATGAATTGACCCTTATTTTAAGATGTTTTCACTTTCTGCTTATACATATATTTTTAAGTTTTTTAAATGATTTTTAAAAAGATTTTATTTTTATAGGGGAAGGGACAGAGAGAGGGAAACAGCTGTGTGTAGTTGCCTCTCACATGCTCCCCGCCAGGGGCCAGGCATGCGCCCTGATTAGGAATCAAACTGGCGACTCTTTGCTTCTGGCTTATATTTAATATAGGCATAGATTTTTGAGAAAAAAATTTCATATTGAGTCTGTTTTAATCCTTTTCATTATGTTTGGGTTCTTTGTGTTTTTACAGGCCTTAGGCTACTTTCAAAGGGCAGAGCAAGGTAAAGTATTACAGATACTAATATTATGAATGCTTTATGTATAATGGACGTTTTAAAGCAAAAATACTTTATTCTGATACGCCTTTGTACTACATATTGTCAAACAATTTTTAATGTTTTTATTCAGTAAAGAGCACTTGACTAAGAAGTAGCCCCTACTGAGTTTAGAGCTGCCATTATGGATTGGCCTTTCACTTTTGACTTAATTCAGAGGCTTCACAGGTTGATTGTCTTACTCAAGATCACTCAGCTAATTAGAGGCATTTACATAGTAATTCTGGTGTTAAATCAGGGCAGTTATCCTGTTGCAGGAGTTTAATGTCACTCTTGCTCAGAAGAAATAGCAGCCTTCAGAGTGACACCAGCCCATCCTAAGTTTATCCTTTTTAATATTAACACAACTAAAGAAGGGACATAAGCATGTGTTACTAAATACACCAAAAAATTTGCAAATATACTTTTATAAAGCTTAATCAGAAAAATTTTTTTTAGTAACTTTCCCTGTTATTCCCTTCCACCCTGCCCTCGCCCTTTTAGTTTATGTCCATGGGCCATACATATAAGTTCTTTGACTTCTCCATTTCCTATATTATTCTTAACTTCACGCTGCCTATTTTGTACCTACTATTTATGCTGCTTATTCTCTGTTCCTTTTCCCCCATTCTCCCCCCTCCCCCCACTCTGTTTTACTGTTCGTAGTTTTTGATCTCCTTTTTCTTAGATAAGTTCCTTTAACATTTCATATAATTAGGGCTTGGTGATGATGAACTCCTTTAACTTTACTTTTTACGGGAAGTGCTTTATCTGCCCTTCCACGCTCATCCATAGCTTTGCTGGATAGAGTAATCTTGGATGTAGGTCCTTGCTTTTCATGACTTAGAAAACTTGCCTGCAAGGTTTCTTTTGAGAAATCAGCTGATAGTCTTATGGGAACTCCTTTGTAGATAACTGTCTCCTTTTCTCTTGCTGCTTTTAAGATTCTTTCCTTCTCTTTAACCTTGGATAACTTAATTCTGATGTGCCTTGGTGTGTATTTCCTGAGGTCCAACTTCTTTGGGATTCTCTGAGCTTCCTAGATCTCCTGGAAGTCTTTTTCCTTCACCAGACTGGGGAAGTTCTCCATTATTTTTTCAAGTAAGTTTTCAATTTCTTGCTCTTCCTCTTCTTCTGGCACCCTTCTCCTGATTTGGATGTTGGAAGGTTTAAAGTCCCAGAGGTTCCTAAGCCCCTCATTTTTTTAAATTCTTGTTTCTTCATTCTGTTCTGGTCGAATGTTTATCTCCTCTCTCTGCTCCAAATCCTTGATTTGAGTCCCAGTTTCCTTCCCTTTATTGTTGGTTCCCTGTATATTTTTCTTTATTACACTTTGCATAGCCTTCATTTTCTTCCTCCATTTCATGACCATACTCAATTCATTGAGCAGCCAGATTACCAGTGTTTTGAACTGTGCATATGATAGGCTGGCTATCTCTTCCTCTCTTAGTTCTATTTTTGGAGGTTTGATCTGTTCTTTTGTTTGGGCCGTATTTGTCTTAGCATGCCTGCTGTGTTGGAAGGGGTGGAGCCTTAGGTATTCACCAGGGCGGGGCAACCCAGGTTGCTGAGTTGTGACCCTGTATGTGGGGTAGTGGTCTGAGGGGGAACAAGGTCGCTTGCTCTGCTCTTGGCCGGCTTCCAATCACTTCTGCTACAAGCAGTTGGGCCCTTCTAGTGCTTATCCCCAGGTGGGTGGGTTTGTGTACTTTCTAGGACCCCATCGGTCTCCCCTATGAGGCTGGGAGTTTCTCCTGCTGCAGCAACCCCTACAGGTAATTACAGCCAGAGGTTTCAAGGCTCCCTTTTCCTGCACTAGAACCCTGGGTTGTTTCAAGGCTCCCTTTTCCTGCACTAGAACCCTGGGTTGTGCAGTCTGTCTTGCTCCCCAGCTGTTCCTCTGGTTTATCAGCACACAACCGTGGGACCTCCCGGACCGCCAGCTGCTGCCTTGCCACACGTCCTCTCTGTCCCAGCTGCCCATCTCCGCCCCTCCTACCGGTCTGGATGAATGTTTCTTTAACTCCTGGGTTGTTGGACTTCTATACAGTTTGATTTTCTGGCAGCTCTGGTTATTTTTTTGTTTCTAAGTTTGTTGTCTGTCTTTTGGTTGTGCAAGGAGGCAAAGTGTATCTAACCTACACCTCCATCTTAGCCAGAAGTCTCTCCTGGGTCTTAATCAGAAAAATGAAAGACTTTATGAAATTTGAGAGCGAACTCATATGGACTTGTCCAAATGCTTTTGTGATAGCAAAACAATTTTCAATTTATTGATTTCAGAGAGAGAGAATGAGTATCAATGTGTGTTGTTCTGCTTATTTATGCATTCATTGGTTGATTGTTATATGTTGCTCTGACCAGGGATTGAACGTCCTACTTTGGCATATTAGGAGAATGCTCTAACCAAGCTACCCTGCCAGGGCAGCAAAGCATTTTTAAAAAAGAAAAAAAAAACTTTTTCTGAAGAATTGTCTAAGTGTTAACTATCTCTATAATACATTGATTCTGATCCACTCTGTTACTGCCTTCCACTGGTATCATGATGATAGTTTTACGTATCGTGAATGTGAACCTGGGAATGAAGTTTCCTACAAGGGTGTTAGGGAATGAAGGATTATGACTACTGAGAAGAACATAGTCTTGCTCTCCTGGAGCTAAAATCCTCAGTAACTGATTGTTCTCATATTTTACCTTAAAGGTCACTTGCATGAGGCAGCTTTTCCTCGTAGCCTATGTCTTGTTTAGAAGTCCCTTCGCTGCCCAAGTAGTACTTTGAGCTCTCCCATTGAGGTTCTTGTTACTCCACAGTGTGAATACTTCTGCACATGTCTACGGCTAAATACAGCCAAGATGAGGACTTTTTTTGGTCACAGTTGCGTCCTTGCTGTTTAGCCTGGTATTGGGCAAATTTGCTGAACAAGAGAGAGATGAATGAATGAATGACTTGCACTTTACCCTGAGGAAACCTTAAGCACATCCACATGTCTCTTGCAAATATTTTCACATGAAAGAAGTGAAACAGTTTTGGATTGAGGAGCAAATGAAATTAAACTGTATTCAAGAAGAAGTATGATTTGAATATAGAGGTCCCCAGGCTGATAAGTGCAAACTGTGTAAAGATTTAATAAAACTTGTGAGACCGTATCATGCTTTCATTCATAGGCTTTGTGTTGACATTTTTCTCTTAGCCAACAATGTTCACTTTTCTGTTTAAAACCCTGCTCGCCTCCAGTGCATCCCAGGTATAACCTCTTACAGTTAGTTGCTTTTTTCTTTGGTTTCTCATTGCACTTTAAAACTTACACATCTATTGAAGCATTCTTTTCTTCTTATATTTAATTGTGCTCGTGTTTCTCCTTTTCATTATAAATTTTAGAAGAATAGGTTGTTTCATCTGTGCGTAAGGGCACCTCCCATCCAGTATGTGTTGGTACAGTGTGTATCATCATGAT